TTAATATCACCAAATCTAGCCCTATAATACATTGTGATGTCACCAAGGTAATATCACCACGTCTAGCCCTATAATACAATGTGATGTCACCAGGTTAATATCACCACATCTAGCCCTATTATACATTGTGATGTCACCAAGTTAATATCACCACATCTAGCCCTATGATACATTGTGGTGTCACCAGGTTAATGTCACCACATGAATGAATGGTTATTTCAGATACAACTAACTGCAGTTATTGCAAGGAGGAAGGGGAGACAACTCCAGCTACATCTTGGTGTTCTGTTTGTGATGACGCACTATGTGAACGATGTACAAGGATGCACCAACGTATCCCTTCTTCCCGTCACCATAACGTAATTGACCTGTCTGGAGAGACAAGGGTCAAGGTCAAGAGAAAGATCATGTGTAAAGTTCACAAGGACGAGAATATCAAATATCTTTGTAAAGATTGTAAAACAGCTGTTTGTCAGACATGTTGCACCATACATCACAGGAAATGTGACATGGTTGTTGAAATTGAGTCAGAGATTCCTGCAATGAAAACCGAGCTGAAAAGGAATAAAGAGAATTTGCTAAAGAAACACGATGAGACGAAAACATATGTTGGAAAACAAAACTCCATTGTCAAAGAAGAATTGGCGCTATATATACAAATAGAATCAAGTATCAAGTCTACAAGTCTCAAAGCAATACAGATGATCAAAGCCAAGGAACGGAAACTTCTGTCTGAACTGAAAGAGATGTCTGACAGACACATTGGACAACTGAAGGCAGAAATAAAGTCAGGTGAGATGTCAGTACAGATGTACCAACAACAGGCTGAGCTGATGGACCAGGCTCTACAATCTGAGTGTGACATGGATGTGTATGAGATGTATCAGGGATGTGAGGCCGGTGATGAGGAGGCTGTCGGAGTCGTAGACGTGAAGGAGAAGGGAAGAATAGACAGGATAACATTCAGACAGGACACGGACAAGCTGAGTAGAACACTGGAAGATGTCCATCTTGGTGAGATACACGTCCAGTATGACGATGTGCTGGACCTGAAGGCTGATCCTGTGTTACAGGACACCATTAACTTGACAGTAGCAGGAGATGTTGGTGGAGGATACCCCATTGACGTGACGGTGTTAGAGGTGAATGGTACAGACACAGTGGTGGTTACAGACTACTACAACAACAGTGTAAAGTCCTTCTACACCAGGAACAGTCAGACAGGTCACAGCAAGCTCAGTCTGGGAGGTAGACCATGGGGTATAACAAGGCCGAAACACAACCAGGTGGCTGTCACTGTGCCGGATACCAGTCAGATTGTAACAGTTGAAGTGAACCCTGACCTTGTGCTGCTGTCGACCATCACAACCAGCAAACAGTACTTGGGTATAACGTCTCTGACACCATCAACACTAGCAGCAGGTTCCCGCTCCCCTCCCTGTGTTGATATCCTGGATATGTCGGGACACGTGCTGAAGTCAGTTTGTTCTGGTCACAGAGGTGGAGACATCTTAAAGTATCCCAACTACCTCTGTACCACGAGGACAGGAAACATCCTGGTGTCTGACTGGGGAACCAAATGTGTCGTGTGTCTGACTCCCGAGGGAGATGTGGTGTTCAACTACAGACCTACAGGAGACACAGCACTGAAGGATCCACGTGGTATCACAAGTTCCAGCACAGACGACATCCTGGTGGCAGACAACTCACTACACAGAGTCACCCATCTGACAGAGTCAGGACAGTTTGTTAGAAACATACTGACATCACAGGATGGTGTCATGTATCCACGGGGACTGTGTGTTGGTGGTCGTGGTCGTATGTACTTGTGTACACCAGATGTAGTGAAGGTATTTACATACTGTAAGTGAGAGAACATGTCACAATCTCTTTCTGTATGTTAAATATAGATATATGTTACCTGGATAGATAGGATGTGATGCACTGTAGGAACATCTGACTTTTGATGTGAACGTGACGAACGATACCTGTTGTAGAAAGACCCAGCTTGTAATATAATGAGGGTTGATGGGGTAGCCTAGTGGTTAAAGCGTTCGGTCGTCTCGCCGAAGACCCGGGTTTGATTCCTTACATGGGTACAATGTGTGAAGTCCATTTCTGGTGTCCTCTGACTTGATATTGCTGGAATATTGCTAAAAGCGATATAAAACCATTCTCTCTCACCTACTGGAATGTAATGTAATGTAAGCAGCCATTACTTCTACTTTATATTCAGATATATTGTCTCAATAACTATGTGGTCCAAAATCATGTAGAATATTGATATTTTGAGTTGTAATGATTTTGAATCACTTTTTCTTTAAGTGACTTTGATGAACAATTTTTTTACAAAATTTACTGAATGGGTTGTAGGTCTTTTGGGATGTTTAACATCGGTTCTCACCCTCTCGACATGTTGTGTGATATGCATAGCAGGGAAATCGTCTCTGCTCACATTGTATCAACTCTGTATAAGTTATTCTGATCACATTTATGCTGATGATGTTAACTCAGTGTTGGATACAAAAGCAGCCAAACTAGTTGGAGGATGAAATCAGTAAAGAGCAGCCATTGTGGCCAACCGATCACCAGATAGATACAGTACTACCACTGCACACATACACATGAAATGTCTTGCCAACTTGTGACGTGTTGTGATGTTCGAACCGACAGGTCTGTCTGTTGAACAGCGGGTACGTGAGATTGACATGACAACTGAGTGGTCAAAAGGGAGATAAGTCGTTATGAGAAGTATATGAAGAGCCATAAAATGTAACGAACGAATGAATAGTTTATCAGTGAGTTAGTTGCGGTTTTACGCTGCTTTTCACATTATTCCACACATTGTAATTTGTTGGGAATCGAACCCGGGTCTTCGTCGTGACGAACGAACACTTTAACCACTGGGTTACCAAGCCCCTATTTTATCACAATTTGTGAATAGTGTGCGTGTTATAAATTGATACAAGCAGTGTTTATACCGACGTTTACAGTTATATACTCTCTGCCTCATATCATTCATTCACTTGATGGAGGAGTAAGAAACGTTGTGTTCCTCATAATAAAGAAGTTGACATCGATAAAACTCTCTTCCTGATGTGTATCCCTTCTAAATGCCATCACAGACCTGATGTGTTACATGTACGTAGTGATGTCTGGCTCAGTATAGAACATTGCCATTTCCTTTGCTAATATGTTATACTACCCTTGCTATTGTTCTGCCTTTGAAATTTCAAATTATGATTTGTCTTGATTTGTAAACTGGGTTACTTTTATAATACAATTGTTAATTTGTTAAATGTATTACACTTGTTTGTTGTTTCACACTACACTAAACGCCAAAAGAAACGTTACCCTCCTTCCTTACTGAGAGAGGTACCTATCTTCAGCTGGCGTTGAGATGCGTGGACGTCCACTACTTGGTCTGTCTCCGGGGACCCCGAGTCTGTCTGAAGCCTTGAATAAGTCTTATAACCGTGATACCATGGCATCCGAGGGCGCTGGCAACAGCATTGTATGTCGACCCCATCTGCACCATTACAATGGCTCTTTCTCTCTCTTCAGCTGTTAATTGTGGCATATTTCTCGTACTTGTGTATCATATCATGCATTCTAGGTTCTCTTCATATCTTATAGAATCATTCTACATATGAAATGGATGCAAATACTGCTCGACTCGAGATCTGTAGTCTTTCGTTACTGTTATACGTATGTAGCAATTTGTTATATAATTCATGGTGTATATACTCATATGTTTCCAACATTCCTTGTTTTGTCTTTTATCTGAACACGTTGTATGGTGTTTATGTTTTCAATACGTGTGTATACGTTCATGTTTTATTTACCTGTTATTTTGTACTTGAGATGTCATTGTGATTGTTCTTGCAATAAATGTTTGAAAAAATGTTCTTTTCACATTATTTGTCAATAAATGACATCAAGACACAGAAGCCATACTCTGGGTAAGCACACTGTGCAATGTTTAGTATCGATCCCTGGATGCACATTTCAGAGATGCGGCGTACAACAATATCCACTCATTCCTTCTTTTGACCATCAGATCTTGCATCGTCCACTCATCTGTGGTGGACGCTAAATGATTTAAAAATTCATATCACATATTTATTATCGCATTACACAAAAAACTATCTATTTAATGGACATCCAATTTCAGATTGTTTCCTAAATATCCGTTTTATAAAAGTTGGATCGCGGTTTCCTTTATCGGTTTATGGGTGCGATGCAGCATTCGGTATTGGCATTGTACGCATTCTACCTCGACCCTGAAGAATTATTGCTTCTGATTCTGTCATTTCAACAGAACGGGCATTTCAAATTCCATTATTTCCCTCCAAAGTAGCAAGCCCATTGCCACTCAGGACATATGTAATATAGCGACCATTCATATTGCATGAGGACACTAGCTCGATAATGGATAACGGTCCTTTTGACTACAGGATCTGGATAGTTAAAGCAGAAAAAGTTATCAAACGTTTAGAAGTTACAGTGAAGTTATAAAAATATGCTCTTAAAAATATCACTATCTGTAAATATTTTCACTTGCTGAGAGATGGAGATGACGAAGACCACTAAAACACGGTACTACTACTACTACTACTACTACTACTACTACTACTACTACTACTACTGCTACTACTACTACTACTACTACTGCTGCTGCTACTACTGCTGCTGCTGCTGTTGCTACAGCATCTGCTACTACAACAATGCTACTATTACTACTTCACCAATTCTAAGTAGAATAGTTACTAGAGAATCATTCATTCAAGAGGGGGTCATAAAAATAACACGCATATTTGGAGAGCGTCATTATATAGAAGAAATCACTAATCGTACCCCTAACAGTCAATTATAAAAGTTGTCAAGGCGCTTGGAAGAAACAAACCCTAATAATCCCTAATTCCCTTATCCTTGGTAGGTATACATTGTGCTCTATTTTTATTTCTCAGACAGGGCTAGGGACTGTTAAGATCCAAGGGGCGTAACTCTAGTCGCACTGAGTCATTAGTGGTGCAATAACTTTACCTTCGTTGGTATGTGTTGTCAATGTTGGAGGTAGATTGTAATTGACCATGTATGGGATTCAAAACGGGCGATAATTGCAGTATCGACCAGGTGTGTTCTATATTTAGCAACGATTACAACTGTGACAAATTCGCTTGGATTATAAACAGTGGAGCGGCGGGGAGAGAATGTACTGTTTGAGGAAGTAAACAGCGGAAACTTGCAGGAATCTCATCTTGAAGAAGAGTAGCATCGCTCAGCAGTCAGCCGAAGCCGAGGCTAAAAATAACCCACTAACGACTCGCCAGGTAAGTCAGCGTTACGAACAGATCCTAGAAGGTTTCATTTAAAGATAAACCCCCAAACCAAAGTTGACCCCGCAAAGAGCGACTTTCAGTGGAAAGCCAGTGTACAATTCGGTAGTGTTATTAAAGTAATAGTATCGTGCAGATTCATCCAGACAGTTAAATATACTGTTAACGAATCGATATTCATTGGAAAATTGAAATGACATTCATAATATATTCTGTGCTGTGTACCAAACAGTACATGACTCAACACATAACTATATAGCTACTATTCTATACTGTACCAACAAACCCCTTAATGAGGACTTGTTTGTTCTTCCGGAATATTAGTGGTTATGGGTCCACACACATTCACCGCTGAGGATTAAGCTTGACCTCTTGTTAGCTGTCATGATAATGTAGTATAAGCATTATGATAATATTATAATGTTTACATTGCTTAACAAATGTATTCCTGTATACCTATATGTGTGTGTGTATGTGTGTGCATGTGTGTGTGTTTTTTTTGTTTGTTTTTTGTTTTTTTGTTGTTGTTGTTTGTTTGTGTTTTTTTTTTTTTTTTGGGGGGGGGGGATAACGTAATGGCCTGGCATACAGTAGAAACCCTCTTATCTTATGGAGGCCTTGAGCCATATTATCAGTAACACAAACACACAATACACAAATAGAAATAAATTTACATTGCCTTCAATGTCCTTAGATATAGACCACAAGAAATGTTATTATTTATGTTCAGCCACAAATCCCTGTGAATCCATGTTGCCTGTGCAAATGAAATATGGGCAGTCCAAGTTTTTGGCAAATGGGAAAAATGTCAGTATTACGTGCAGCGTTGTTACAGTTAATCCTGGATTATCACTGATTGATCGGTTTTAATTTCCATTGAAAGATTAATTAGGTGATTGATTGTCATAATTCATCACCATTTTTCTGAATAGCTAAACTGTTTGTATTAAATTTGTAGTATTCCAACCACAATGTTGTTGCGTTAATAATATAACCAGTCTCCATTTTCTGAATGGAATAGATTTTCCTCACTCTGCTATTGTGGAGGGAGAAGATACACAGAAGCCTAACTGTGGTATGTTTACATATTTATACCAAAGTATGCATTTGTCATCCACCATTCGACCCGTGAAGATCCGGGGTAGAATAGGTCTTCAGCAACCCATGCCTGCCATAAAAGGCGACTGTGCTTGTCGTAAGAGGAGACTAACGGGATCAGGTGGTCAGGCTTTCTGACTTGGTTGACACATGTCATCGGTTCCCAATTGCGCAGATCGATGCTCATGCTGTTGATCACTGGGTTGTCTGGTCCGGATTTGATTATTTACACACCGCCGCCATATAGCTGGAATATTGCTGAGTGCGGTATAAAACTAAACTCACTCACTCACTTATCCACCATTCTTTCTTGCTGACATGGGTGATGTATGACGACTATGTAAGGGAGGTGTCCACGACCTGTGTATGATATTGTTACATATACTTCCAGTTCCGCCTTGCAATGACGTCACATGATCCAGACTTGTTGCGTGAGGTACGAGAGTATCTTCATTCCAACAACGATGCTATGACCTCCAAGCCGATCCCCCAGGGAGCCTATAGTCTGTTTAGCTTCCCTGCCACCCCCAAACACAAGCATGATGAAGTGTACCCAGGGATTATCCTCGGTGACCAGTAAGTCAAAGTAATCTTTGGTTCACGTTTCACTGTCTTTGTTTCCTCTCTGATGGGAATTCTGGGTAAGAAAATGTACCTGCTGTGATGTAACACATGCTATGTTTGGGATTACACTTTCTCAGTAAAGTATTCTAGTACTTGTCCTCCCTCATCATCATCATCATCCCCCCTCATCATCATCCCCCCTCATCATCCCCCCTCATCATCATCATTCACCCTCATCATTCCCTCCTCATCATCATCATCCACCCTCATCATCATCCCCCTCATCATCATCCATCATCCTCATCATCATCATCCCTCATCATCCACCTCATCATTCCCCTCATCATCATCATCCACCCATCATCATCATCCCCCTCATCATCCATCCTCATCATCATCACCCTCATCATCCACCATCATCTCTTCATCATCCACCTCCTCATCATCATCATCCACCCTCATCATCCTCCCCTCATCATCATCATCCATCCCCTCATCATCATCATCCCCTCATGATCCACCCTCATTATTCCCCTCTCATCATCATCATCCACCCCTCATCATCATCATCCCCCTCATCATCATCCCACCCTCATCATCATCCATCCCTCATCATCATCCACCCCCATCATCCCCCCTCATCATCATCCCCCATCATCATCACCCCTCATCATCCACCCTCATCATCCCCATCCATCCACCCCTCATCAGCATCCACCCTCATCATCCCCCTCATCATCCCCTCTCATCATCATCATCATCTCACCCTCATCATCGTCATCCCTCATCATCCATCCTCATCATCCCCATCATCATCATCCCCCTCATCATCATCATCCACGTCCTCATCATCATCATCCCTCCTCATCATCATCATCCCTCATCATCATCATCCTCATCATCATCATCCTCATCATCATCCCCCGTCTCATCATCATCCATCCCTCTCATCATCATCATCATCATCATCCACCATCATCATCATCGTCCTCATCATCATCTTCATCCACCCTCATCATCATCATCAATGGTTCCCTCATCATCCACCCTCATCATCATCATCATCCCTCATCATCCACCCTCATCATCATCATCATCTCATCATCCACCCTCTGCATCATCCACCATCATCATCATCATCCACCCTCATCGTTCCCCATCATCATCATCATCCACCCTCATCATCATCATCCCTCATCATCCACCCTCATCATTCCCCTCATCATCATCATCACCACCATCATCATCATCATCCACCCTCATCACCTCATCATCATCATCACCCTCATCCCTCATCATCCATCCCTCATCATCATCATCCCCCTCATCATCCACCCTCATTATCATCATCATCCACCCTCATCCACCTTCATCATCACCCTCATCATCATCATCCACCACCATCATTATCATCACCCTCACCCTCATCACGCTCATCATCCACCCTCATCATCATCATCATCACCCTCATCAACCACCCTCATCTCATCATCATTATCCACCCTCATCCATCAGCCACCCTCATCATCATCATGCCCCTCATCGTTTCCCCTCTCATCATCATCCACCCTCATCATCATCCATCATCCACCCTCATCATCACCATCATCCATCATCATCCATCATCCACCCTCATCATTATCATCATCCACCCACATCATCCACCCTCATCATCATCCACCCTCATCATCAACCACCCTCATCCATCATCCACCCTCATCATCATCATCATCATCCTCATCATCATCATCACCCCTCATCATCATTCCCCTCATCATCCACCCTCATCATCCACCCTCATCATCCACCACATCATCCACCCTCATCATCATCCACCCTCATCATCACTTATCATCCACCCACATCATCCACCCTCATCATCCACCCCTCATCATCATCACATCATCACCCACCCTCATCATCATCATCATCATCATCCTCATCATCCACCCTCATCATCATCATCCACCCTCATCATCATCATCCCCCTCATCATCCACCCTCAACATCATCATCCACCCTCATCATCCACCCATATCATCCACCCATATCATCATCATTCTCCCTCATCATCCACCCTCATCATCTTTAAATGTTTTATACCTGTCTGAAATGGCTTCATGGTTTCAGGAGAAATTATGTGTTTCATTTAAAAACAAAAGTTTTCTCCAAAATGTTAAAGACCAGTTACCTTGAACCTGATATATGAAATAGTCACAATATGTAGCCTTGTCGAGACATATTGCTGCCAACAGCTTGTAAACAAACTGTGACTCCAACATTATTTTCCCAATATATTCTATTTGATTGTAATTCATAAAATTAAAGGGGCAGTGGGGTAGGCTTGTTAAAGTGTTTGCACATCACACTGAAGACCCGGGTTCGATTCCCCACGTGGGCACTATGTGTGAAGCCCCTTTCAGGTGCCACCCGCAGTGATATTGCTGGACACTGATTAAAGTGGTGTTAAACTCACTCACTCACTCATTCATAAAACCAAAACATGCATAAACTTTATGATTTAGAATGTATTGCGCAAAAGGGTCACAAACACAAAAAAATCATGTTTATCCTGTTTTTATCTCTGCTGTGTTGTAGCTCGGCGGCCCGGAGCAAGGAGGACTTGAAGGAGATGGGCATCACACACGTGGTCAACACCTGTATGGGAGCCAAGTTCAATATGATTGACACAAGTGCTGAATATTTTAGTGATGTTGGAATCAAGTTTTTTGGTTTCCCTGGGAAGGACATTTTTACATACAACCTGAGTCAGCACTTTGAGAAGGCAGCTGATTTCATTGACAAAGCTCTTGCAGACAATGGTGAGTTTTCAAGGAATATGAACATAGATTGGGTTGTACTGTCTTAGGTATTCATCTGGGATTTCATGTTATTAAATGAAGTTAGTGAGTGAGTGAGTGAGTGAGTGAGTGAGTTTAGTTTTATACCGCACTCAGCAATATCCAAGCTATATGGCGGCATCTGTAAATAATCGAGTCTGGACCAGACAATCCAGTGATCAACAACATGAGCATCAATTTGCGCAATTGGGAACCGATGACATGTGTCAACCAAGTCAGCGAAACTGACCACCCGATCCCGTTAGTCACCTCTTAAGACAAGCATAGTCGTCTTTTATGGCAAGCACATGGGTTGACGAAGATCTATTCTACCCCGGATCTTCACGGGTCTATTAAATGAAGTGATGTAAACTTGATGCTCATCTGTATTGATCTTGTTATCACAGGAATGCAAAAAAAAATCAAAAAGAATGTTTGGAACTATGGTTACATGGAATAGGATTTAAATGCAATGGAGCAGTTAATACTGAAAATTGCTACAGACTTAGGGACCGTTCATAACCTGTGACTAGAGGGGTTGGTGATGATTTTGAAGGGGATGTCATCAAGTTTCAACACATGTACTGGGGAGTTTGTACATCAGTAAATTAAAAGATTATGCTTTAAAATTATAAAAAGGGGGTTGGGTAACTCACTTTGTACATGACATGCTAGGGGTGGAGGTGGGGGACACTTACTTTGTAAATAAATTTAGAGGGGTTGGGGGGTACAGTGTACATGCTTCTCGATAAAAATCATCCTCCTCCTCCCTAGCCATGAATTATGAATGGTCCCTTAGGGGAGAATATTGGCCTTTTGGGAGGTCAAGATAGAGTACTTCAAAACTGAACATCTTGTTTTCTGATCATGAAAGACTGCGGGTGGATTGTGGGTGGGGGTATGTCCCAAGTAAGAGGCATTGAGGAGTTAGCTCCCTTAGACATGCCTGGTCCCAAAGATCATGAGTTCGAATCCAGATTAGCCTGTGACTCCAGATTTGTTTGCTCCATACTCATGGGTTTCCCTTAAGTGGTAGGCATCTAAGATCTGCATCACTGTGGCAGTCCTCCAAATGTGTTGACTTGTCAGGACATAACTGGGACATTATCCAGGATCCCAAACTAAGGACCCATGGCAGGCAAATTGGATAAAAATTGTGACTGGGATAAAACAGAAATTCATGACCTTATGTGATAAATTCTGAGGCATTGGGAAATTGTTTATCTGGAATTTTTACTGTCATTTGCTGGAGACATGGAATAAGTGTCAGTCACTGAGCAGATCTGGATAAATCCTTGAAATTCTGTTTAGAGCAATGAACCAAACTCACTGACTGTGTGTTCTGCAACTTGTCTTTGTTCTGTTGTCCAGGGAAGATCTACATCCATTGTATGCAGGGCATCAGCAGATCAGGGTCCACAGTATTGGCATTTCTCATGTTGAAGCGCGATATGCCTCTGAAAGAGGCTGTGAAATTAGTTCGAGCCAAGCGAGAGATCTTCCCCAATGACGGCTTTCTAAAACAGCTGTGTGAGCTCAACAAGAAGTTGCACGAGAAGCCATCTTGACGTCTGCTGAATCCATATAGTGACTTGAGTGTACAGACCTACATATCAATCATGTCCAGACCATAATGAGATTGGTAGAGGATTGAAACTCAATTCCTTTTCTACTCCCTCTGTACCTGTACTTTCTTATGTTTTCCTTTTCAAGGGATTATGAGTAACACAGTGATTTAAGTGTTCGCTTGTCACATAGAAGATCTGGGTTTGATTCCTCACAAAAGCCCATTTCTGTGATATTTGAGAATGTCCTAGGTTGTATGAGGGCCATGTCAGGGACACTGTGACAATCTATCCTGGTTTCATCAGCATCAGGGCGTACTGGGCTGTGTAAGAGTGAATGTTTCAGTTTAGTTTTACACCGCTTTTAGCAATATTCTAGCAATATCATTGCGGAGTACAACAGAAATTGGCTTCACACATTATACCCAAGGGAATCGAACTCGGGTCTTTGGCGTGATGAGCGAACACTTTAACCACTAGGTTACCCCACAGCTTATGTTGTTTGAGAATTTCCTGAGTTCCATCAAAGCATTTGAATGGCTTTGGTACTTTCAGGGACATTGTTGAAAATGTTATTAAATTTGTTATTAAACTTGACTGACATTCTCACTTCGTAATTCTTCTAACAATTAAGCTTTAATAATTTGTTGATAGATATTTTGGCATCTATTTTGATTACTGTTTCCATGGAACATATTTTACTGAGCGTAATTAGCTTTACTGGATAAATATCAGTGTTATTTTATTGAAATGTATGTTTTGTTACCATGTTGATCTGTTGTTGGAGAGAAACCCTCTCGTGGGGCCTTTCGTGTGTTTGTATTTGAACCAGCAAATGAATCAGAACCAGCAAATGGGGGCACATGTTGTTTACGGTGCCTCAAATCGCTGCAGAGATTTTTGTGTGTGTTTGCACTTAGGTGGAGCAATAAACAAAATGGATTTGAAGACTTAACAAAAATAACTTCAGTATTACAGAACATGAACATAGGTTATTGTGAAAAAATGTTTTGAATTAAATATTTTATTGAAAATTTTATTTTAAAAAATGTTTTGATCCTATGCACACGCTCACAGAAATCGGTAGCTCCTCAATTCACTAATCAATTACTTCATGTTGTACAGTGCACAGATTTGTGATCATGTTGATTTAATGCAAAGATGTCTTCACTGTAGGAATACAGGTTATCTTCAGCAACAATAGTTGTGTAATGGGATGTTTATTTATCCGTGGAGATTCTCTTTGTAATAACCCATGAACAAATTCATTTGGAAACATTTTAAATTGTTGTTTTTTTAACAGACGTGCCTTTCAAAGTCGCGTATATATATCACAAGGGAGACAACTCTGTCTGCCTCGGCAACGCATATCGAGCTGGGTTGCTGTCTGTGGTAATAGTCAGTGAAGTGAGACTAACTTGGAGCATGTCTCAGTAACAGAGCCTTCATGAATAGATCAGTTAATCCTTGCTATCAGCTGGGGCGTAACTTGCAGTCTTTAAAGGGCATTTAGAAATTGGAAGAACATGAATGCATGACACTTTTTATGGATAACAGATTCTTTTTTTATTCTCTATCACAACATTTCAAAGCTAATTCTTGCTCCTTCATCAGGTGATAGGGTGTAACATGTATGTTGATCAGTCAACCCTTGCTATCAGTTGAGGTGCAACATGCATGTTGCCCAGTTCACTCTTGCTGTTAGCGCCTATGTTGCCCAGTTAACTCTTGCCTGCAGGGATAACCAGATGTTGTAGTAAACGGCCAGTGATTCTCTCAGGTCTGTGACTTTTCCATGTTCCAAGGTGCCTGTCTCACCTCTCAGAGCATTATCAGGTTTCAGTGTTGTCACTTTTGGCAGGGAGAATAGAAGACGTTGTAGGTTATCCCTGTGGGTTAGTTCTGTGTTGTTTTATATCTATTTTCCTCTTACTCATGTTTAATACATTTTTACAAAATCACTAATATGCTGGATATAAAATATATTGTATCTCGTACATTTTTACGAATAAATATGTTTCCTACTTGTCATTGTTTAATATTACTCAGGATAGACTCAGGATAGACTCCATTGTAAGTTAACATTGAATGACTTATAACCTCCCTGTTGATGTCATGGGGACGTGTCAATTTCACGTCAAGCCTTTCTCCCACTGGGATACTGTTCCAAGTTGCACAATCAAACAGTACTGATGTACTCTCATAACGTAGGGGCGATGGGGTAGTCTAGTGGTTAAAGCGTTGGCTCGTCGCGCCGAAGACCCGGGTTCGAATCCCCACATGGTTACAATGAGTGAAGCCCATTTCTGGTGTCCCCCACCGTGATATTGCTGGAATATTGCTAAAAGCGGCGTAAAACCAAACTCAGTCAGTCAGTCTAATAACGTAACCCTAGACTGACTGACTGACTGAGTTTAGTTTTACGCCGCTTTTTAGCAATATTCCAGCAATATCACGGCGGGGGACACCAGAAATGAGCTTAACACATTGTGCCCATGTGGGGAATCGTAACCCTAGACTTCATGAAGGCAACCTAATACACTGGGCCCATACAAAGAAATCAATCTTAACGAAAAGGATGATCGTAACTCCTCCCATCCTTTAACACAAATTTACGACATACATACAGTTGCGTCCCTTAGCTGACAATGATCCGACGATCGTAGGTTCGAATTCACCTTGATTATCTTTGATTGGTCAGCACCATATGTGTTCCTTCCATATTGAATCGACACACTGTGATGTACCAAAGGACGGTATCCGGTATCTATATATATCTGTTGAAAGTGGAAAAAGCTATCTGTAATCGCTTCTTAAATAGTCCAAGTATTACTTAATTGAACAAGACCGTAAAACGCGACTGAATTAAACAGTTTACTGTATAAGTGGGTACAGAGTGTTGAAGAGATTTTACCCTCAACAGCATAATGTGGCCCATGTTCCCAAGGGTACTTAGATGCAGATTGGATGGTTATATTGTGTTTCATGTACACAGTCTACCCTGGTTATAACACCAAACTGGTTATAACGCACAACATTGCCAGCAAGGATTTCCCACCACTACAGTTCCCTGGCTATGACGTCACAACCTTTCGCTGAACAAATGTTCCAGTTCCAATTCTATATGCTGCCAGTTCCTTTTGCCAGGTGGTCAACTTCAACACATCGTCTGCTTGGAGTAGGTGATTATTCAGGAAGTGTGCAAAGTTTTAAACCTTCCTTAAGCTGATTAACAGCCCGTACTCATTCACTCACATACGAGACCGCCTCCGTGGTGTAGTGGTTAGAGCGTCCGCACGATCCCCGACCGCGTCATACCAAAAGACGTTAAAGTATGGTACTTGTTGGTCCTTGCCTTGCGCTCGGCATTAATGGGTCCAACAAGGACTGGTCGGCTCGGAGTCAGTATAATGTGTCTGAGTGGGGTATTCATGCTTCACTGCGGCATGGTATCTCAGTGGGCTAGCACTATAAAACTAGCTTAAGTCTGGGCTAGTACAAGCAGCCGCACTTACACATACACACGCATCCACGTCGTCATATGAGCGAAATATTCTCAAGTACGACGGAAAACCCAATTTCACCTCAGCTCACTCACATACGGACCCGATAACATATTTGTGTGTCAGGAAAACCAAGGATAACTGTGTTTGAAAAACGTGTTTATTATGAAGAAAAAAATACAAACAATATTTACATAACATTTACAAACAAACAACAAAACAATAATGACTAACTGACTGACTCGCTCACTCACGTGTAGTTGGATTCAATATTTTAGCCTGCCTTAACAGTACCCGGAACAAGCAATATCAAGTATCTCTGTCATGCGAAGTTACATGCAGGATGGTGGACATCCGGAGAGGCCCCGGTAGAGCTGTGGACGTCATCTTCTGTGTCAGATCAAGACGTAAATGAAGCCGTATTTCCGAGGGCAGAGCTGTTCCCTATGTGCGTCATAATTGTCCCCTCGGCAGTTTTGACTGGTTTGTTATATTGGACATTGTGGAGAGACCATACTCATCATCGACCTTTCTTCGGTACGTATTTCACAAGACGTGACATTTCCCGCACCGACTCGAACAGCCCTTCTCCATTTGGTGCGCATGCGCCGTGTATGTGCGGTCGCGGTTTTTGAGGTCGCGGATGTCAAGTTCCTCAGCAACCTCGGGGGGCTTTAGGGCACCCATGTCCAAAACACAAATATATTTTACAAATTACTTCATTCATAATAATTTCCTTCTACAGCGTGATAAACGATGTCCCATGATGACTCCATAGAACACATCTTTTATTTAATGTGAAGAGTGGCGGCAGGGTGGCCCAGTGGTGAGTGTGTTAGCTCTTCTCAGATAAAACTGGTTTGATTCCCCCAAACACCTCGTGTCCATCACTGTACAGTATGCTAGCATATGGCAGGAATGTGACTTATGCCAGTACAAAAACCAACATGTTATGTATCTACCTGTCGGTAAAACCATTGGTGAGTTCTCCCAACGCCCTGGTTTAATTTCCCCATAGCAGTGTCACTGTGCAATAGTATCAACCACTAGTTTGCCTGCTGTAGGTCTGATTCCACCTTGCCGGTCATTATGGACCAGTCTGACGCACTCACCTGGCAAATCCTGCTTGTTAGCTATCACCACTACCGGCACCCCCGCCATCTCTGGCGAACTGAAGATCCCATGGAGCTCCGACAAGGCTTCCTTCATGCGCAGCCGATCTGCGCTGTCCACCACATAGATCAGACCTGTGGAGTATTGAAGAATTGACTTCAACATGTTGGGCGCTGTTCTCACTGTGTAAATCCTCACAGCCAACCATTATAACTTCACAGACTGCTCACGTAACGTTTAACACAAACACACACCACGAAGTCTGTGACACACCCATCCTTTTGTCACCCAACCAGGATTCAGTGGTCAGTGGGAAAATGCAAAAAATATTTTTGGGGTTAGCCAATCAAAAGCCACGCTATATCTGAAAGGCAATTGCGTTATCCCATGTAATTGTAGTTGGAATATCTATTGATGCAATTTATTTCGTGTTCCTAACCTAAACCGTAGGGAAAGTTATGAAATGCTGTCTAGGGGGTTGTATAATGTGTCGTTGTAGCATGTGTTGGTCAACCACTGCACTGCCGTCAACGTCAATCCACCCAGTGGGGGTATTACGATACGCCAGAACAGCCAGGCTACAGCTGAGGGCCCAGCTGGAGAGGGTCTCCGGCCAAGTTCACTCACAGACATTTTCTGATATCTACCCCATTTTGTCGGCCATAACAACAGACTGGGTGTACGCATTGTGCACCGTGGGTTATTTTGTGTGAAGAGTATGACTCCCATTTTAATATATGATAGTGTTGGGTACATTTGTTGACCTACCTTGGGTGTTGGGGTAGTAGCATTGTGAATATGTTGACCTACCTTGTGTGTTGAGGTAGTAGCATTGTGAATATGTTGACCTACCTTGTGTGTTGGGGTAGTAGTGTTGGGTATATGCTGACCTACCTTGTGTGTTTGGGTAGTAGTGTTGGGTATATGTTGACCTACCTTGTGTGTTGGGGTAGTACTGTTGGGTATATGTTGACCTACCTTGTGTGTTGAGGTAGTAGTGTTGGGTATATGTTGACCTACCTTGTGTGTTGGGGTAGTACTGTTGGGTATATGCTGACCTACCTTGTGTGTTGAGGTAGTAGTGTTGGGTATATGTTGACCTACCTTGTGTGTTGAGGTAGTAGCTTTGTGAATATGTTGACCTTGTGTGTTGAGGTAGTAGTTTTGGGTGTATGTTGACCTACCTTGTGCGTTGCGGTAGTAGTGTTGGGTACTAGTATATGTTGACCTACTTTGTGTGTTGGGGTAGTATTGTCTCCACAGCTGTCGGATCTTCTGCTGACCCCCCACGTCGCACACATGAGTGAACGTCACACCTTTGAAAAATAGTTGTTGTTTTCAACCAAGACCCAAATTCTTGTAGGAATACCATCTCAGAATTGCAGGAACAGTGCCGTGTCGACGTAAAACTATATTCACTCTAACCTCGGCCAGTCCCACGGTTTACTGTTTACTCCCAAGTCCCGGGGACCATAACGAGCACTTTACTCTTAGCTCGACACAAACGGAGTACTATATATAGTATGAGATACTATTCAGACTTACAGTCTAAGTGTCTTTTCAGTACTTCGTGAGACCCCCTGCTATACATGACTGAACGTGCCAAGGTACACTATCGATCAAAGTTGCTATATTGGACCACTTCTTTCTTCATATCCTCAATATTTCTAAGTCCTTTTATTGTTTATTCTGTCCTTCTTTAGTCCCCACACATTCTCCAAAGGGTTATAATCTGGGCTGTAGCTGGGCAAGCCTAAAACTTGACCATTTTCGTCCAACAGCCACTGTTTTGTGTAGCCAGCGGTGTGTTTTGGGTCATTATCATGCTCGAAAATCCAATTATCTTCATACAGTGTTCGGGTTGTTGGAAGGAGGTAACCATTTAAATGTCAACATATCGTTCCTTCGTCAAACTTCCAGTGGAAATACACAACGGCGTCACTCCCACATGTGAAATTTCGGGCTATGTTTTGGGCGTTGGTAGATAGGTTTCACGGTACCTTTTGTTTACATTTTCACATAGTTCGAAAACAGCCAGACAGAACTTTCATCAGAAAAGGAAACATTATCCCAATCAGTGTATCTACACCAGTTTAAACGTCTTTCTTTTTGTTCATCATTTATCAATGGTCAGGGGATTCTGCGCTGTATCGACCAGTTAAGTCTGTGTAATTCGTTTCTAAGGGTTCCATTACATAATGGAGAACTTCCTCTATCAATCATCTCATTTCTGATACATTCAATATGTTTCAATTTTCCGCAACTCACTTTCCCCGGCTAGACGTAGTACTGAACTTCCTTGGCCTCCCTGCCCTTATCTTGTGCTCAATGCTAACTCCTGACTGAATATTAAAGTTCTGTATTTAAAGTTCTGTATACTGTAGACAGGAATGTCACGTCTACTAGCTAACTCATTTGCATTAGTCACACCCCTTTGAAAATCATCTAGAACCAGCTTTCTTTTCCCTTCTGCTGTCAAATCTGCCATGTCAACAGAGGAAGCCGTATACTACATCAGGGGAGATAACTCTTGATGTAGTAACAAGAGTTGCCTCCCGTTATGAGTACCTTACTACATAATGTAACATCTATTTTATAAGTTTATTATCAGTATTAGGAAACAAACATTTTCTCAATAATTTCTGTGAAAACAGTATATGGTGAGTCTATCGGCTTCAAGCGATATAAGTAAAAAAATCTGTCGTACGTTGTGAACATTGTGTATTTCTTGATATACCACACCTCACCTACCACATCATCGTTCAATCGTGAGAATCTTTGAACCCTTTGATTATCAAAGACAGTTTTTGAAATTTATAAAACCATAACAAAATTTGAATGAGAACATAGGACTTCTTACGGTATATGATCTGTCTTGTATTATAGGTTTTCAACAACAGGTTATACTGATCAGTAAATAAGGAACGCTTAATACTGATTCTCTGAGTTAAACATAATGAAATATTATTATGTTTTACAGATTAAAGATGAAAATGCAGCAGAGAGGGTTCGAGTGATCCTGGCACAGTCAGGCTGGTAAGGTTCATCATCAGCTCAGGGCCCTCGCCCCCTCTACACGCAGCCAAGGAAACACTGCCTAGTCGAACCCACCAAGAACTTTTCGGAGAATATGAAGGCTCCCCAACACTGCAGCCTTCTGCATTACCCAGAGTGTCAGAAGGGCTGTACTCCTGTTGGAAAACCCGGGCACTCTCCTGATCTGCGCCAAGAGATCAGGGGGTACCAAACCAAGGGCATCGAGAACAATTGGGAGTCTGAGGACAGTGTACTTGGGATGCAAGCGAGACATTCAAAGGCAAGGTCCGCATATTTATCATGCTTTTCCTGAATCTTGCCAATCATATTGCTGTCAAAAGGGACAGAAAATTCAATGATATAAATAAATTAATTGGCTTTATCAAAAAGGACAAGATCAGGTTTGTTGGCAGGAATTCTTCTGAGGCTGTATATGGGCCTATTCCACAGAAGTTTGAAAGCATCATTTTCCATGACGCCCTGGACATGTTCAGGGTCGTACCATGGATAGACCTCGGAGTCAAAGCCACAGACATGGCGGAGACAGTAGTAAAATCAACGAGCCATGCCATCATGTTTAAGATATGCTGTTTGTGCCAAAGAAGGGCATCCACTGACAAGATGTTGGACAGTCTCTGTTAATTCATTACATAGTCGACATTTCATATTGATATTTTCTTTAAGAATCACATTTTGGCGATTACGAGTGGGAAGTGATTATTATTATTATTATTGTTATATCTCAACATCCCTCCAGTAGATCCCGGTTATACGCATTGATCTTCACGAACCAACAGTTAAAGTTAACTGGGTCCGGCGATGGGACTCGATTATTCAAGGAACGCTGTCAAATAGCTGGAATTTTTATTAGTGCGTCTTTCAACAAACAAATTCACAAACAAACAAAGTCACAAACAAGCATCCCCGAGCCTACCTGCCCCATCCAACCCAAGCATCAGGATACGAGCTTTTGCCGATGAAAACTCATGGTGGATCCTCATAAGACGTGATAGTGACCAGCCCATAGCGATGACACAAAACGTCGCAACACGATAAATAGTCCTCAAAATGTGTCCACGGCTGTGTATCACGGCTGTCTCTTTCCGCTCTGAATTTATACCAGTTGTTATCCCCAGTCTAGTCAGTCTGCTTGAGCGTCGTCACCATGACCACATACACCAATGGGAGTCTTACATACGTCACATTCTGGAAGCTTGTCGGCGCAATATACAATTGTCAATTTCTGGTCACGTGGAGATCTAAAAATAGCTCCGCAGTGCGATGGGTATGGCGACAGCCATTTTCCGAAACCTCCGACATCCCCTCTATGGATATCATGTGCGAAAATACGACGATCCAACCAGAATGCGCATAAAGGGTTGAGGTACTTTGATAAAAATAATCCCCCTTACATTAATCGGTTTAATATGATTGTCTAGAAAACTTATATAAAATGTATCGTCATTTTCACGTGACTCTTATTGCAACTGCATATTCAAGAAAATAATCCCATTTGCAATTTTTAACCCGTCTTTAGAAATATGCATTTATAAAATAGAATTTGTATTAGCTGTTTACTTTATATCTATAATTCATACATTAAGACGGGTTAAAAAACCAAAATGGGATATTTTTCTTGAATGTACAATTGTAATAAGAAAAATAACTTCATCTGCAAAAAGTCCCAAACACAATTGCTTAAAATTAGTTATCACCTCTTAATAAATATGGAGATGAAAATAAAAATAAACTTTCGAAACCAAATGGATCAACACGCATATAATGTCAGTAAGCGCAGGTAAAATCTCAGAAGAAAACACTGAGTGGAAACACGGGAGCAGTTATTAATGTGAACAAACACACGAGTGTGTATTTGAATGTTTCACTGTTCATGGCGCTGTCCATATTAAAAACTCAAAATTATGCAAAACAATTCTGCTATAGTTACATCGTTATTTGTAATGTCAAAATGACGATACATATTTCCCCGATTTTCTAAAGAATCACATACTGTCATAACCGATTAAATGTTCTCGGAATTATTCTTATTAAATTACCTCAAACCCTTCCACTCATTCTTATAGGTTTGGCGTATTTCCGCTTATGATATACATCGGAGACGAGACACTCTCGGCGATTGCGGAAATGGGCGAGTGATGACGAATTGTGGAAAGGTATCATTTACAAGGTGAAGGTTATTTCAGAATTGACAGAGTGAACTAAAAACTGACACGACTGGGCTACGTTCTGACCCCTAGGTACACTAATCAGCATCACGTTCGTCAAATCCAATCACACATCACAGACAGCTGGAAACAGTCAACTTCCCCTGCATCGGCAAATCAAAACAGTAACCCTCAGCGCAGAAGGCTATATTTAGAGGGGATTCCCCGTCACATGACCCGGTTTCCCGTGACGTCATTTTCTCCAGCGTGTTCTGCGCCAGGTGTTTGGAGTTTCGTCAGCAGGTGTGCGTGTTGAATATGACAGCGTAGAAACCATGTTGCATCACGACCCGAAACATAAATATATCCCTCAACGCTGGAACCTCGTCGACTATATAAACCAGGTTTAATAACACTGTATCATTCAAACTGTGATCGAGACACAACATAAGACGACATTAACGCGTCCTGCGCTGTCCCAGATATTAAATATTGACTTCTCGTGTCAGAGTTACTCAAATCATGGGTGTTATCTTGGATAAACTTGCTGACTTTACAGGCCTGTTCTCCGGGTTTTCAAGAGACCCAGCAAGAATTCTGATGGTTGGACTCGATGCTGCCGGTATGTTTATGAATATTTATATGCAGCTACCTTTTAAACAACTTGTTAATACGGTATATTTCATTTAAAATTTACATGATAAACTTGGCATTTCACTCATGTTTTATGTATTGCTTCTTTCACAAATTGTTATGGTTATATAGATTTATTTGATATTTCATTGAAATGCTGCATGATACATTTCGAAAATTTACATAATTGATTTGAACAAAATTTTACGTTTCACGAAACAATTGTTCATTTTTTTCAAATAGAGATGTGCGTATAATGTTTTGTTCGGAGAGATGTTACGTAAACGAATATTTATTACTATTTACATTGGTAAAATTGAAAAGAGATAGTTTTTGTTCACGCCCAACGCACAGTACAATATATTGTAGTAACAGTGAATGTATGGATCTATGTTGTAGGTAAAACGACGATCCTGTACAAGCTGAAGCTGAACGAGGTGGTCTCCACCATCCCCACCATCGGCTTCAACGTGGAGACCGTCAGCCCCTGCAAGGGGGTCAACTTCACCGTGTGGGACGTGGGGGGTCAGGACAAGATCAGACCCTTGTGGAGACATTACTTCCAGAGCTGCAGCGGTGAAATTTGTTGTTTGTTTTTAGGAGGGTGTTTCGTTCGGTTATTTTCGTTTTCTTATTTTAAGGGCTGAGAGTAGGTTTGGTTTTGTATTGATGAATGACAAACAAAGCCTTTCTGGTGATTTGTCACCAAGTTAATATAGAGTTAATGTACTAGAACCCTAATTTATACTATGTTCTTACATAGCCATATTTATTGGTAAAATATGTGCGCCTCCAGGTGGAGATATGTGTTCAAGATTTGGTCGTTTCTCTCATTACGGCGTCAATTTAATATCATCTTGTTATATTGCAGGTATCTTGTACGTGGTAGACACCAACGACAGGGAGAGGTTTGTCGAGTCACGTGAAGAACTGAAGAACGTCATCGACAGCAACGAGATGAGATCCGTCCCTGTGGTCGTCCTGGCTAACAAGCAAGACTTGCCAGGTAGGGACATGGGGGAAACGTAATCTAGCCAAACCTGGATTATCAACATACACGCTTTGAGGGGCGGGGTTTTCATATTGATGTGATGGTGATACTGCTGCTGTTATGATGGTAGTTATGATGGTAGTTATGATGGTAGTTATGATGGTAGTTACGATGGTAGTTACGATGGTAGTTATGATGGCAGTTATGATGGTAGTTATGATGGTAGCTATGATGGTAGTTATGATGGTAGGTATGATGGTAGTTATGATAGCAGTTATGATGGTAATTATGATGGTAGTTATGATGGTAGTTATGATGGCAGTTATGATGGTAGTTATGATGGTAGTTATGATGGCAGTTATGATGGTAGTTATGATGGTAGTTATGATGGCAGTTATGATGGTAGTTATGATGGTAGTTATGATGGCAGTTATGATGGTAGTTATGATGGTAGTTACGATGGTAGTTATGATGGTAGTTATGATGGTAGTTATGATGGGAATGGGGCTCATGAAGGGCTTTGTAGGCATTTTGAAGTTGAATATACTTATGACGAGAAAACTGTGTTTTAATTACTTGATCCAGGGTAAAACATTATCCCAGATTGAACTTGTTATTATCCATAATATTTCTAGTCATCTTATGTTTTTTGTTATTGTTTTGGGTTAACGTCAATGTGTGGGAAGTACAGTCTTGAAACTAATGCCGTTATTGATAAAACAATCATATTGATGCTGAATCTCAACATTGTTTCCTCAAGCTGCCGCCAAGTTGTCGGAAGTAGTGGACGCCCTTCACCTTCAGAAGATGACGGACCGGAAGTGGTACATCCAGGGGACATGCGCTACGACCGGGGAGGGTCTGTTCGAGGGTCTGGAGGAAATGTCCCGACTGGTGAAAGAATTTAAACAGAGCAGGGGGCGGTGAATATTTACAGACATAAATAACCACAAACAAGTATCTGTGATAATGTCCAGAAGCTCAGGGATGACCAACTGAAGGGTATCTGTGTTGACACCTGAATGGACTGATGTGACCTCCCACAACTATATTTAATCACGTGTTTGTTTGTTCAATACATGATATGCAAGTTGAAATGCTGTCATATGACTTTGACAAGGTTTTTCAAGTTTGTATTGTGGCGAGGAAGCCTAAAGGAGGACCCCACTGTTGCGACACGTTGCCGTCAGAACAAAGACTCCCATCTCGATGTTACTGATTCAATCTTATGCCCAGTCCGTCCCCATGGTTACCGATCCTTACCGTGTTGTCACGTGATGACTCGAGATCTGTAGAGCTATCAGTCTTTCGTTACTGTTATACGTATGTAGCAATTTGTTATATAATTCATCGTGTAAATACTCACATGTTTCCAACATTCCTTGGTATGTCTTTTATCTGAACACGTTGTATGGTGATTGTGTTTTCAATACGTGTGTATACGTTTTTATTTTATTTACCTGTTGTTTTGTACTTAAACATGTAATTGTAATTGTTGTTGCAATACAAGTTTTAATTTTTTTGGTTTTTTTTACAAAGTTATTTGTCCATAACTGACATCAATGCACAGAAACGTTACTTAACCACATTGTGCAATGCTGAGCATCGATCCCCGGATGCACATTTTGGACAGTTGCGGCGTACAACAATATTTACTCGTTCCCCCTTTTGATCATCCGATCCTGCATCGTGAACTCATCAGTGGTGGACGTTAAAACGTTTTAAAATTAATATCACATTTATTATCTCATTACACCCAAAACTATCTATTTGATGAACATTTCCTTCCAGATTGTTTTCTACATCCGTTTAATAGAAGTCAGACCGAGAATGTTTAGGTCGATAGGATGAACTGAGAATCTCACAATGCCAAAAATAAAAGGCGTAAACAAAGTGTCAAGTCACAAGAAAATAAATCTGATGTTTCAAACATTCAGTAGCGTGTATGGTCACCCTGTGTGTTCACAACTGCCAAGCAACGCCTCCTCGTGGACAGTCTATTGTGTGTAAACACATTATTGGGAAGTCGGCGCCATTGTTCCTGCAAAGCAGCACCAAGATCCTGCAAATTCTGGGGTTGGTTCCTGAAAGTGCGCAGACCTGTACCAATAGCATCCCAGATGTGGTCGATTGGATTGAGATCAGGTGGCCTTGACGGCTAGTCAAGAACATTGATTCCTGCGTTCTGCAGGTTATTCCTGGCCAAGATGGCTGCATGTGGTCTGGCATTGTTATGTTGGAAGTGCAGACCTGGACCATGTGCTGCCATGAATGGAATAAATTCGGGGGTTGGCATGCCTGGTCGCGGTAACCTGCAGCATTAAGGTTCCCACGGATAACCAGAAGTCGGGAACGGGCAATCCCACAGAAAGTACCCCAAACCATGATACTTCCGACCCCAAATTTGTCAACTTCCTGTACACAACACTGGGCATAACGTTCACGGCGTCGCCTCAACACTCTCATCCTACCATCAGCGAATCTGAGGGTAAATGTTGATTCATCACTGAAGACAACTCGATTCCAGTTTCTGTGAGTCCATCGGAGGTGTCGTCGGGCCCACAGCAACACTGACGTCAATGTCATGGCGTAAAAATGATTCCGCGATATGGTCGTCGAACACGAAGGTGTGCAGCTCGCAGCCGGTTTCGGATGGTTTGTGCCGACAGTCGACCCCTAAACAGCTCATTTCTGGTACCTGTTTCCGTCAAAAAACGATTACGGAGGTCACGTGACACAGTTTGACGGTCCTCCGCCTGTGACGTCACACGTTGCCGGCCTGGCCTGAGGCGATCAGTGGTGCCGTTATTGCAATGAAACGTTTGACAAATTGTTTTATTGTAGTGTATGTCAACTAATGCCTGGCTGAAATCAAGGGTAAGGACAATTTGTATTTACATTGGACTTGTCAGTGAGTCAGGGTATGCGTCAGTTACAATGATGCAGTCCATGATGAGTGATGAAGGAAAAGTCCTGTCTGTCCAGGCAGATGTCCGTGTGTATGTGAGTGGTGGCTTGCAAGTCTTGGACCATGTGTTACTGAAACCAACAAGGATCAAGGAGATCCCCCTGTATCACCCTTACGACTAGTGGTAGTGTAGCCTTACGACTAGTGTAGCCTCACGACTAGTGGTAGTGTAGCCTTACGTCTAGTGGCAGTGTAGCCTCACGACTAGTGGTAGTGTAGCCTTACGACTATGGTAGTGTAGCCTCACGGCTAGTGGTAGTGAAGCCTTACATCTAGTGGTAGTGTAGCCTCATGACTAGTTGTAGTGTAGCCTTGCGACTAGTGGTAATGTAGCCTTACGTCTAGTGGTAGTGTAGCCTCATGACTAGTAGTAGTGTAGCCTTGCGACTAGTGGTAGTGTAGCCTTACGTCTAGTGGTAGTGTAGCCTCATGACTAGTGATAGTGTAGCCTCAAGACTAGTGGTAGTGTAGCCTCACGACTAGTGGCAGTGTAGCCTTACGGCTAGTGGTAGTGTAGCCTCACGATTAGTGGTAGTGTAGCCTCACGACTAGTTGTAGTGTAGCGTTACGACTAGTGGTAGTGTAGCCTCACGACTAGTTGTTGTGTAGCCTTACGACTAGTGGTAGTGTAGCCTCACGACTAGTGGTAGTGTAGCCTCACGGCTAGTGGTAGTGTAGCCTTACGTCTAGTGGTAGTGTAGCCTCACGACTAGTTGTAGTGTAGCCTTACGACTAGTGGTAGTGTAGCCTCACGGCTGTGGTAGTGTAGCCTCACGACTATTGGTATTGTAGCCTCACGACTAGTGGTAGTGTAGCCTCACGACTAGTGGTAGTGGTAGTGTAGCCTCACGACTAGTGGTAGTGTAGCTTTACGTTTAGTGGCATTGTAGCCTCACGACTAGTGGTAGTGTAGCCTCAGGACTAGTGGTAGTGTAGCCTCACGACTAGTGGTAGTGGTAGTGTAGCCTCATGGCTAGTGGTAGTGTAGCTTTACGTTTAGTGGCAGTGTAGCCTCACGATTAGTGATATTGTAGCCTCACGACTAGTTGTAGTGTAGCGCTAGGACTAGTTGTAGTGTAGCGCTGCGACTAGTGGTAGTGTAGCCTCACGGCTAGTGGTAGTGTGGCCTCACGACTAGTGGTAGTGTAGCCTCAAGACTATGGTAGTGTAGCCTTACGACCATGGAAGTGTAGCTAGAGTAGTTGTAGTGTAGCCTTACGACTATGGTAGTTTAGCTACATATATATATATATATATATATATGTAGTAATTGTATCTACTTGTTGGAAACTTGTAATTATCAGTAAATATTGCAACAGTTTTGTGTCATTTCTGCATTGTTGTGTTGATGAGAAATGTAGACACTTCTTTTTTGTAATCCAGGCGTGAGTGAGTTTAATTTTACGCCGCACCCAGCAATATTCCAGCTATATGGCGGCGGTCTGTACATAATCGGATCTGGACCAAACAATCCAGGGACCAACAGCATGATCATCAATCTACGTAATTGGGGCACGATGACATGTGTCAATCCAGTCAGCGAGCCTGACTACCCAATCCCGTTAGTCGCCTCTTACGACAAGCATGGGTTACTGACCCTGATCTTCACGGGTGTTATCCACGAACTGCCATGGATCACGGAAGGAGGTCACAGAGGACATGCAATGAAAGTAAAACGCCAAGAAGACATAATGACCACGATCTATTGACCTTGAGGAAAAATAGATGTATAGCAGATCTAGAGATGTAGAGCAGGTCGACTACAGATGTAGAGCAGGTAGACTACATATGTAGAGCAAATAGACTACAGATGTAGAGCAGGTAGAGCAGGTAGACTACAGATGTAGAGCAGGTAGACTACAGATTAGACTACAGATCTAGAGCAGGTAGACTACAGATGTAGAGTAGGTAGACTACAGATGTAGAGCAGATCTAGAGATGTAGAGCAGGTAGACTACATATGTAGAGCAGATAGACTACAGATGTAGAGCAGGTAGACTACAGATGTAGAGCAGGTAGACTACATATGTAGAGCAGATAGACTACAGATGTAGAGCAGGTAGACTACAGATGTAGAGCAGGTAGACAAGGGATGTAGAGCAGGTAGACAAGGGATGTAGAGCAGGTAGACTACATATGTAGAGCAGGTAGACTACATATGTTTCTGGGATATCTCCACATGAGAGAGTTGTATGTACGGTCAAATGACATACGTCTGAGCTGCCCTCTGTTCAACGCGATCAACACCTGTTACTGAATTGATTTGACAACTGAGTGGTGTAAGGGAGATAAATCGTGATGAGGTATTTATATATAGCAATAACAGCGAGCGCCTGACTGACCGACTGGGTTTGGTTTTATGCCGCTTTCAGCAATATTCCAGCAATATCACGGCGGGGGACACCAGAAATGGGCTTCACACATTGTACCAATGTGGGGATTCGAACCCGGGTCTTCGGCGTGACGAGCCAAAGCTTTAACCACTGGACTACCCCACCGCCCCGCGAACGCCTGAATAGTGTATCACCACTTGAGCTGTTCTCATGTGTTGTAACCAGACATACGAGGGGCACATTGAAGAGCGATCGACAGCAGTTCGAGTACTGAGTCAAGTGTGAGTGAGTGAGTTTAGTTTTACGCCGCACTCAGCAATATTCCAGCTATATGGCGGTTTGTAAATATTCGACTCTGGACCAGACAATCCAGTGATTAACAGCATGAGCATCGATCTGCGCAATTAGGAACCAATGACATGTGTCAACCAAGTTAGCCTGACCATCCAATCCCGTAAGTCGCCTCTTACGCCAAGCATGGGTTACTGAAGATCAATATTCTAACCCGGACCTTCACGGGTCTGCATTTCAATGTGTTTTGCCGTGTGGCTCTAGGGGACCAAACACTTTATGAATACTCTGTACTCAAGCTTATTCATTTCTGCAGTTTCGATAGGGGTACATGTGATGTCACGTAAAGTAGGGACATGTGCATGTCAACATTACGTTTATGTGAATGATATAAACCTTTCTTCAGTATCATACAGTCATTTTTATCATGCGCATATCAGAAGTATTTCAGACTCCAACATTTTGATAGACCCTCGTAAACAGTGTACACGCCCACTTGATGGTCAACGCCGGACTCAGTTTTCCAGCCACATGTTGATGACGGTAGTTTGTATATAGTCGAGTGTTGGCTCGATAAACGAGTGATTGCTATTGTAGCAGCTTCCAAGCAGCCGGTGCATGACAACAATTATTCTTCCTGGTGACGGAACCTATTCATATAGTCCCAATGGACGACAGGAAGATGTTCCTTGATCCTTGATAACCAGAATCCATGGGGAATGAAGCATACGGTTCGTGAGTCAGTCTTGACCAATCTGTACACAAGTCTGTGACTGAACCGACATCATTCAGTAATCTTGAGGGTCAACGTGCGGGGTTATGTCCAGGAGCTCTGACGGTCTCCGGTCGCCTTCACTCATTTCCGCACAGCAAAAATCTTGTCCAGTATACTTCAACATTTACTCTTAAATATCAAACGTCAGTACAGACAATGTGAAGTCTTGACCTACCTCAGAAAAGTTAGGGAGTGTTTTAACACCGGCTTTTAGCAGTATCACGGAGGGACACCTAAATGGGCTTCACACATTTGGTCCATGTGGGGAATCAAACCCGGGTCTTCTGTCTGACGAGCAGACGAGTCAACATGAATGTTCATGTTCTCCAAGGTACTACAGTTTCCATATTCAAGTCCAAACCAACAGACAACATGTGCTTTGTGAACGTGTAGAGTGTGGCAGACCCACAAAAGGATAACGGTGTGACTTATTCCTGGGTCAGTGAGTGAGTGAGTGATTGTAGTTATGCAGTCATCCAGCTATATCACAAGTGACTGAAGTTTCTAATCTTAACACTATCACAGCTATAAGACTGCGACAATAAATCTTGAATCGTGACCCTGCGCATTCAAGACGATTTCAAAACACTATCACTCATTCGACATCACTCGTCCCTTTCCGTAACATGCAAACTGTCCCTGAATGACGAGTTGATCACGAATGAACCACGTCAACCCTGGACGGAAAATCTCTTCCTGTGCCCAGTTCCCTCTACACCGGTTACCTGGCTGTCTCGGGTAAGTGTGTTGTCACAGGGGCTGTGTCTATTCCAGTTATAACGCTACACACCTGTCCTACTGTGTACAGGTAACACTAAAATGGTTCATCTAACTGTTAGGTCATCTCCAGGCACATTCTCAAATCCGGGCACCTAATATACTGCAATATTTAGACTGAGCATGGTGTATGAAGTGTCTACTTTCATTACTTCCTTGATCGGCCTCTTGACTTCAATACTGAGATCTGTCCCGATGTATGTGGATGTATGTATATAATGTGTGTTTGCTAAAGTTGTTACTGAATTGATCTCAGATAAATGCTACAGCACAAAGTATGGTAAAATACTTCTACATGACCACAATATTTGACATCTAATGTAGCGGAATCCGAACTTAACGTCTCCTACTTTCGATATGGTAATGAGCGGGTGTCGCCATGTAACTCTGTCAGGTGAATGACATGCTGCACACGGTACATAGCTGCATGTTGTAAAGCTGGTGACGACGAGTTGCAAAGATCCATTGACGAGCTGCTGACAGACAGGCCACTGATTCATGGTGCTCCGTGACACCAAAACATACCCAGTCTGTTATACTATACAATGTCATGTGGTAACGCTTGTCAACTTCAAAAGATAACATATTCCTATAGCACAATAGCACAACTCATACAACAGCACAGGGGACTGACCGCCTGACTTTCATGGCAGTGTTTCGTGAACTAAAAACCTGAACTAAATTATGAATTAATTCCGTAAAAGAATCAGCTTTAAAAGCAACAAAAACAACAACATAGAAATGTGCTGTAATTGAGAGTTGTATTCTAAAATTAACAAAGTTCCGAAATCAGTACAAAGGCACCACAACTGCCCATAAACATTCGTATTGTAGCTCAACGGTTCCAGTATGTCAGGCAAAAGAGAGAATTTTGTGTTTGTGTAAACCGTGAAATATCTGAGGGAATGTATGTTCTGTGTTTTACTTATGAAAAAGTATCCAGTATCAATATCCGGCCAAAGAAAGAATCATCAAGACGGACAGAATCAAATAAACAGGCGGTTACTTCCTTTCATCCAGTCTCAGGTTTCTAACAATTCTCAAATACAGGATTGGTTGTGTATAACGTGAAATATGTGATGACATGGCTGTTCTATGTTTTATTTATGACCAGCAAGACAGAGCGACCCACACACGCACACATCATACACACACAATACAGACGGCCCATGTTTTATTTATGACGAGCAAGACAGAACGACCCACACACACACACATCATACTCACACAATACAGACGACCCATGTTTTATTTATGACCAGCAAGACAGAGCGACCCACACACGCACACATCATACACACTCAATGCAGACGACCCATGTTTTATTTATGACGAGCAAGACAGAACGACCCCCACACACACACATCATACTCACACAATACAGACGACCCATGTTTTATTTATGACCAGGAAGACAGAGCGACCCACACACGCACACATCATACACACTCAATGCAGACGACCCATGTTTTATTTATGACGAGCAAGACAGAACGACCCACACACGCACACATCATACTCACACAATACAGACGGCCCAGTTACAACCCGTCTACCAATGTTATCTCTCATTGATTATAGGATCTACATACATCTGGAATATGTTTTCATTCGTTCATAATTCCAAGAGCAGGATTTACTAGACATAGTTCTGTCAGTTAATCGGGACTACAAATATGGTCGGTGTTTGTGTAATGAATGTTGTGGTTTGTATAGTGGAAAGGATGTTTATGTCGTGTCTCCTGACTTTTGGTAGGAGAGATGGCGACCTCCCAGAAGTTGACAGAACACTTCCTGACATGCACCATATGTACAGAGGTGTTTGACAAGCCCTGTACACTTGTGTGTAATCACACCTTCTGTCGGAAATGTGTCGTCAACTACACCAAAACCAGACCAGAAGCCCTCAGTGCCAAGTCTCTCCTGTGTCCATTCTGCAGGAAGATGACGAAAGTGTCTGACCCCGAGAGACCAGTGGAGGAGTGGGCGGATGACGTCAAGCCTATCTTTGTCATCCAGGGACTGTTGGACTCGTTTGGCCCCGGATCTAAAGGTGAATAGTTGTAGGTTGTAGCAATATACGTGTTGTTTACAAGCAGGTAACAGTATAATTGATTTAAGCAAAATAAATGTTTGTGATGTTATGAACATTGTATGACCCCTGCTATGTATATACTACTATAGTTTGATGTATGTAAAAATCTGATTGTGAGGAATGTGAACTTTCATTGTGGATATGTGTTCAACGAGCAAGACACAGCATATCAGGTGACATGACCAAAGACATATATAAACCTTATTCATGATCCGTACTACAACGTTTACGGTGAGATAATTCCAAACATATTTACATGACGTTTCAACCTGAGACATGTTGATATGTTTCCGATACATTTTCTCACATGTGTCAAGTAGGAACATGATGCGACACATCCAGCCCTATAATACATTGCGATGTTACCAGGTTAATATCACCACATCTAGCCCTGTAATACATTGTGATGTCACCATGTTAATATCACCACATCTAGCCCTGTAATACATTGTAATGTCACCAGGTTAATATCACCACATTTAGCCCTATAATAAATTGTGATGTCACCAGGTTAATATCACCACATCTAGCCCTATAATACATTGTGATGTCACCAGGTTAATATCACCACATCTATCCCTGTAATTCATTGTGATGTCACCATGTTAATATCACCACATCTAGCCCTATAATACATTGTGATGTCACCATGTTAATATCACCACATCTAGCCCTATAATACATTGTGATGTCACCAGGTTAATGTCACCACACGAATGAATGGTTATTTCAGATACAACTAACTGCAGTTATTGTAAGGAGGAAGGGGAGACAACTCCAGCTACATCTTGGTGTTCTGTTTGTGACGACGCACTATGTGAACAATGTACAAGGATGCACCAACGAACCCCCTCTTTCCGTCACCATGACGTAGTTGACCTGTCTGGTGAGACAAAGGTCAAGGTCAAGAGAAAGGTCATGTGTAAAGTTCACAAGAATAAAAGGATCAAATATCTTTGTAAAGATTGTAAAACAGCTGTTTGTCAAACATGCTGCACGATCCATCACAGGAAATGTGATATGGTTGTTGAAATTGAGTCAGAGATTCCTGCAATGAAAACCGAGCTGAAAAGGAATAAAGAGAATTTGTTAAAGAAAGACAATGAGATGAAAAGATATGTTGGAAAACAAAACTCCCTTGTCAAAGAAGAATTGGCGCTATATATACAAATAGAATCAAATATCAAGTCTGCAAGTCTCACTGCAATACAGATGATCAAAGCCAAGGAACGGAAACTTCTGTCTGAACTGAAAGAGATGTCTGACAGACACATTGGACAACTGAAGGCAGACGTAAAGTCAGGTGAGATGTCAGTACAGATGTACCAACAACAGGCTGAGCTGATAGACCAGGCTCTACAATCTGAGTGTGACATGGATGTGTATGAGATGTATCAGGGATGTGAGGCCGGTGATGTGGAGGCTGTCGGAGTCGAAGACATGAAGGAGAAGGGAAGAATAGACAGGATAACATTCAGACAGGACACGGACAAGCTGAGTAGAGCACTGGAAGATCTCCATCTGGGTGAGATACACGTCCAGTATGACGATGTGCTGGACCTGAAGGCTACCCCTGTGTTACAGGACACCATTAACGTGACAGTAGCAGGAGATGCAGGTGGGGGAGACCCCACTGATGTGACGGTGTTAGAGGTGAATGGTACAGACACAGTGGTAGTTACAGACTACAAGAACAACAGTGTAAAGTCCTTCTACACCAGGAACAGTCAGCCAGGTCACAGCAGGCTCAGTGTGGGAGGTGCACCACGGGGTATAACAAGGCTGAAACACAACCAGGCAGCTGTCACTGTGCCGGATACCAGTCAGATTGTAACAGTTGAAGTGAACCCTGACCTGGTGCTGCTGTCGACCATCACAACCAGCAAACAGTACCGGGGTATAACGTCTCTGACACCATCAACACTAGCAGCAAGTTCCCACTTCCCTCCCTGTGTTGATATCCTGGATATGTCGGGACACGTGCTGAAGTCAGTTTATCCTCGCCCCAATGGCGGAGACATCTTACAGTATCCCGACTCCCTCTGTACCACGAGGACAGGAAACATCCTGGTGTCTGACTTGGGAACCAGGTGTGTCGTGTGTCTGACCCCCGAGGGAGATGTGGTGTTCAACTACAGACCTACAGGAGACACAACATGGAAGTATTCACTTGGTATCACAAGTACCAGCACAGGCGACATCCTGGTGACAGACGAACCACAACACAGAGTCATCCATCTGACAGAGTCAGGACAGTTTGTTAGAAACATACTGACATCACAGGGTGGTGTCAAGAAACCAAGGGGACTGTGTTTTGGTGGGCGTGGTCGTATGTACTTGTGTACACCAGATGTAGTGAAGGTATTTACATGCTGTAAGTGAGTGAACATGTCAGAACCCTTTTTTTGTATTACATATAGATATATATGTTACCTGGATAGATATGATGTGATGCACTGTAGGAACATTTGACTTTTGATGTGAACGTGACGAATCATACTTGTAGAAAGACACAACTTGTAATGTAATGAGGGTTGGCGGGGTAGCCTAGTGGTTAAAGCGTTCGCTCGTCACGCCGAAGACCTGGGTTTGATTCCTTACATGGGTACAATGTGTGAAGCCCATTCCTGGTGTCCCAAACCGTGATATTGCTCGAATATGGCTAAAAAGCTAAAACCATACTCTCTCACCTACTGGAATGTAATGTAATGTAATGTAATGTAAGAAGCCATTACTTCTACTTTATATTCAGATATATTGTCTCAATAACACTATGTGGTCCAAAATCATCTAGAATATTGATATTTTGAGATGTAATGATTTTGAATCACTTTTTCTTTAAGTGACTTTGATGAACAATTGTTTTACAAACTTTACTGAATGGGTTGTAGGTCTTATGGCATGTTTAACAGCGGTTTTCACTCTCTTCTCGACATGTTGTGTGAAAGGCATAGCAGGGCAATCGTCTTTGCTCACATTTTAGCAACTCTGTATACGTTATTCTGATCACATTTATGCTGTTCATGTTAACTCAGTGCTGGATACGGGGTCGTGTTTGATTATTACAAAAACAGACAAACTAGTTGGAGCATGAAATCAGTTTAGAGCAGCCATGTGGCCACTGCACACTACCACTGCACACTACCACTGCACACATACACATGAAATGTCTTGCCAACTTGTGACGTGTTGTGATGTACAAACCGACAGCTCTGTCTGTTGAACAGCGGGTACGTTGGATTGACATGACAACTGAGCGGTCAAAGGGAGATAAGTCGTTATGAGAAGTATATAAGGAGCCATAAAAGGTAGCGAGCGAATGAATAGTTTATCAGTGAGTTAGTTGCGGTTTTACGCTGCTTTTCACATTATTCCACACATTGTTATTTGTTGGGAATCGAACCCGGGTCTTCGTCGTGACGAACGAACACTTTAACCACTGGGCTACCCCAGCCCCTATTTTATCACAATTTGTGTTTAGTGTGCGTGTTGTAAATTGATACATGCAGTGTTTATACCGACGTGTACAGTTATATACTCTCTGCTTCATATCAATCATTCACTTGATGGAGGAGTAGGAAACGTTATGTTCCTCATAACAAAGAAGTTGATATCGATAAAACTCTCTTCCTGATGTGTATCCCTTCTAAATGCCATCAAAGACCTGATGTGTTATATGTACGTAGTGATGTCTGGCTCAGTATAGAACATTGCCATTTCCTTTGCTAATATGTTATACTACCCTTGCAATTGTTCTGCCTTTGAAATTTCCAATTATGATGTGTCTTGATTTGCAAACTTGGTTACTTTTATAATACACCTGTTAATTTGTTGAATGTATTACAGTTGTTTGTTGTTTCACACTATTTTGTTTTGAGAGAGAGAGAGGGAGGGAGAGAGAGAGACAGAGAGAGAGACAGAGAGAGAGACAGAGAGAGTGACAGAGAGAGAGACACAGAGATAGACAGAGAGAGAGAGACATAGAGAGAGAGACAGAGACAGAGACAGAGAGAGACAGAGACAGAGAGAGACAGAGACACAGAGAGAGACACAGAGAGAGAGAGAGACACAGAGACAGACACACAGAGACACAGAGAGAGAGAGATCCCCACTGTCAATCTCCAGGGTCCCGTACTACAAAACAACCGTAGCTCTAAGGTTACCTTATCTCCTCAAGTTTTAACCTTAGGCCTTTGCTAAGGTTGACGTCCCGTTGTACGAATCTACCTTACGCTAAGGTAGCCTTAGTTAAGGTGAAATTTTAAGGTTGGTCCGACCCAACCTTAGTGTGGCTAAGGCTGACAGAAGACCTTTACCCAAAACACCCTCTGTTTACTCTGCGGCGTAAAACGCTATTCACACAACCACCCACTCGCCCACTGAGAAACTGGATACTGCAACCGCAACTCGTCAATGGTCGAGTTTATACCTTTCAAACTTCAAACACATGTCATCGTATCCCAGTTGTGTAGATCGATGCTCATGCAGTTGAGCACTGGATTGCCTGGTCCAGACTCGATTATTTACAAACCACCGCCATATAGTTGGAATATTGCTGAGTGCAGCGTTAAACAACAACAACTATTAAGCTTGGCTGAATCTTTTTGGTCTGCAATAGACAGAGGTATCCTGTTAAATAGGTGCGATTCCTCACATGGGTACTAATTTCTGGTGATATTTCTGGAATATTGCTAAATGCGGCGTAAAATGAAACTCACTCACTCCTTTTTAACAGTCAGTTGTTGTGTGGTATGTGTATAGCTTTAATCTGCACACACACTATTGGCATATATAGACCCAACACAGAAATCTCAATATTAGGTACCCGTAATGGTGGCCAGATCTAGCTTTAATCTGCACACACACTATTGGTATATAAAGACCCAACACAGAAATCGCAATATTAGATACCCGTAATGGTGGCCAGATATAGCTTTAATCTGCACACACACTATTGGCATATATAGACCCAACACAGAAATCTCAATATTAGATACCCGTAATGGTGGCCAGATATAGCTTTAATCTGCACACACACTATTGGCATATATAGACCCAACACAGAAATCTCAATATTAGGTACCCGTAATGGTGGCCAGATCTAGCTTTAATCTGCACACACACTATTGGTATATAAAGACCCAACACAGAAATCTCAATATTAGGTACCCGTAATGGTGGCCAGATCTAGCTTTAATCTGCACACACACTTTTGGCATATAGACCCAACACAGAAATCGCAATATTAGATACCCGTACTGGTGGCCAGATCTGTTGCATGATTAATGATGCACTGCTGGGTTTGGGAACATATGTTCTTATGCATTTTCAAAGCGATATTGGACCAAGTCGAGTGTCCCTCAGTGACATTGGTTCAATACAAGTCACACAACGACGCTACAGATGGGTACTTTAGCAAGTTGAATAACACAAGGGGCTCTTTGAGTGACTATTCCTACACCTACTATAAGAGTAGCAACATGTTAACACATTTTCATTGTCCATATCACTGCCCATATTAAGTGGTATACTAGTGTACACGTGTAACGTCATAATTTATCACGTTGTGACACCCATGGAGATTGTTTAGGTAAACATTCCGTGACAAAAATAGATACAGAGAGTGAAAGTGAGAGTGAGAGTAAGAGTATATGTCGTATAATGGCCTCATGGCCCAGGGTACAAAATATACATGATTGTTTGTTTGTGCGCATACAATACATAAACATAAATATAATGCATCACTGTATAGCAATCAAACAGGTAGGTTTCTCTTCAGGTAGACTGCTAGGCTTTTGATAACATTCATATTTTTTGTGCATAACAACTGGTTCAACTTAAATACAGATGGATTTATATGATAATAACCAGGAATATAGAAGGCCTCTTCTCCGTGTTTTCCAGAGACCCAGCTACAATTCTGATGATTTGACTCGACGCTATCGGTATGTTAATGAGTATTTATTACAGTTACTTGTTTGCACAACTTCAAGCTTCAAATATTTCAAATCATAAAATATCTACTTATTTGTTGGTTCATTAACTTATCATAAATGAACATATTTTAATATTCATTTGCGATTACTCCCACTCGTAAAGGTGGATAGTCATATGAATAGCGCCTAGGTATTGAAAGGTGGATAGTCATATGAATAGCGCCTTGGTATCGGAAAGGTGAATGGTGATATGAAAAGCGCCTAGGTATAGGAAAGGTGAATGGTGATATGAATAGCGCCTAGGTATAGGAAAGGAAGCTCATTGGTGACCATCTCCATGAGAGCTCGGGAGCATTTGTGTACAAATGTATCCATGGTGTAACTCCACGTCGAGCCCTATATATAGATTACAAATAACTTTCGTTGTTAGACTGTGTTCAGAATGGTGTCAAGACAGCTGATGCATGGCAGTTGCTAGCCTTGTAGCCTTGTGGAAGAACAGCATCCTGAAATCAGACGGAAGAGTCTTCTGTGTTGATCCAGAGCCACCAGGACAAAGACTGCAACCATTATTTAACTCATCCTATGGTCCTGTACAGGCGATCGTTTCCACGACAGAAGTGATTGACTTGCTCTGCGAGGGTTACATTGCTAACACCGTTTCAATGTAACTTTTCTCTTATTTCGTATGTATCTCGAGCTCTTAGCATTTACTAGTGGTAGTGTAGCCTCACGACTAGTGGTAGTGTAGTCTCACGACTAGTGGTAGTGTAGCCTCGGGACAAGTGGTAGTGTAGCCTCACGACTAGTGGTAGTGTACCCTCACGGCTAGTGGTATTGTAGTTTCACGGCTAGTGGTATTGTAGCCTCATGACTAGTGGTAGTGTAGCCTCACGGCTAGTGGTAGTGTAGCCTCACGACTAGTGGTAGTGTAGCCTCACGACTAGTGGTAGTGTAGCCTCACGACTAGTGATAGTGTAGCGTCACAGCCAGTGGTATTGTAGCCTCACGACTAGTGGTAGTGTAGTCTCAGGACTAGTGGTAGTGTAGTATTACGACTAGTGGTAGTGTAGCGTCACGACTAAATGGTAGTGTAGCCTCAAGGCTAGTGGTAGTGTAGCCTTACGACTAGTGGTAGTGTAGCCTCACGACTAGTGGTAGTGTTACCTCACGACTAGTGGTAGTGTAGCCTTATGACTAGTGGTAGTGTAGCCTCGCGACTAGTGGTAGTATAGCCTCACGACTGGTGGTAGTGTAGTGGTTGTGTAATCACACGACTAGTGGTAGTGTAGCCTCGAGAATAGTGGTAGTTTAGCGCCACGACTAGTGGTAGTGTAGCCTCACAACTAGTGGTAGTGTAGTCACGCGGCTAGTGGTAGTGTAGTGGTTGTGTAGTCACACGACTAGTGGTAGTGTAGCCTCACGACTAGTGGTAGTGAACCTTCACGACTAGTGGTAGTGTAGTCACTCGACTAGTGGTAGTGTAGCCTCATGGCCAGTGGAAGTGGTGCCTCACGACTAGTGGTAGTGTAGCCCCAAGACTAGTGGTAGTGTAGCCTCAAGGCTAGTGGTAGTGTAGCCTTACGACTAGTGGTAGAGTAGTATTACGACTAGTGGTAGAGTAGCCGCACGACTAAATGGTAGTTTAGCCTCAAGGCTAGTGGTAGTGTAGCCTTACGACTAGTGGTAGTGTAGCCTCACGACTAGTGGTAGTGTTACCTCACGACTAGTGGTAGTGTAGCCTTATGACTAGTGGTAGTGTAGCCCCAAGACTAGTGGTAGTGTAGCCTCACGGCTAGTGGTAGTGTAGCCTTACGACTAGTGGTAGTGTAGTATTACGACTAGTGGTAAAGTAGCCGCACGACTAAATGGTAGTTTAGCCTCACGGCTAGTGGTAATGTAGCCTCACGACTAGTGGTAGTGTAGCCTCACGACTAGTGGTAGTGAAGCCTCGCGACTAGTGGTAGTGTATCCTCACGACTAGTGGTATTGTACTCACGCGACTAGTGGTAGTGTAGCCTCACGACTAGTGTTAGTGTAGCCTTACGACTAGTGGTAGTGTAACCTCACGACTAGTGGTAGTGTAGCCTCACGACTAGTGGTAGTATAGTAACGCGACTAGTGGTAGTGTTGCCTCACGACTAGTGGTAGTGAAGCCTCACGACTAGTGGTAGTGTAGCTTCACGACTAGTGGTAGTGTAGTCACGCGACTAGTGGTAGTGTAGCCTCACAGCTAGTGGAAGTGCAGCCTCACGACTAGTGGTAGTGTAGCCCCACGACTAGTGGTAGTGTAGCCTCACGACTAGTGGTAGTGTAGTCTCGCGACTAGTGGAATTGTAGTCACGCGGCTAGTGGTAGTGTAGCCTTACGACTAGTGGTAGTGTAGCCTCACGGCTAATGGTAGTGTAGCCTCACGACTAGTGGTAGTGTAGCCTCACGATTAGTGGTATTGAAACCTCGCGACTAGTGGTAGTGTATCCTCTCGACTAGTGGTAGTTAAGCCTTACGACTAGTGGTAGTGTAGTCTAACGACTAGTGGTAGTGTAGCCTCACGACTAGTGGTAGTGTAGCCTCACGACTAGTGGTAGTGTAGTCTCACGACTAGTGGTAGTGCAGCCTTGCGGCTAGTGGTAGTGTAGTCTCACCATATATATGTATTTACTACATGTGTGCTTAATGATCCAGGAATTGTATCTACTTGTTTGAAACTTGTAATTATCAATAAATATTGCAACAGTTTAATTCAAGCGTATTTCTGAATTGTGCTGTTTACGCTTTGATGAGAAATGTAGACACATCTATTTGTGATCCACGAGTGATTGACTGAGTGAGTGAGTTTAGTTTTACGCCGCACCCTGCAATTTTCCAGCTATTTGGCGGCATTCTGCAAAATAATCGGATCTGGACCAGATAATCTGGGGATCAACAGCATGAACATCAATCTAATCAATTAGGATACGATGACATGTGTCAACCCAGTCAGCGTGCCTGACCACCCGATCCCGTTATAGTCGCCTGTTACGAAAAGCATAGGTTACTGAAGATCAATTCTAACCCTGATGTTCACGGTGTCTCACGAACTGCCATGAATCACGGAAGGAGGTCACAGAGGACATATAATGAAAGTAAAACGCCAAGAAGGCATAGTGACGACGATCTATTGGCCGTGATAAAAAACATACTAGTATACGAACAAAGATGTATGCTTTTTGGTTTTGATACCTTTGTGTGATACATTAACAGTAAATACATAAACAGTGACATGACACGCCATGGTGGGTTTGGGAGGACCTTGCAGATGCAGAACAGGTAGCCTACAGATGTAGAGCAGGTAGCCTACAGATGTAGAGCAGGTAGCCTACAGATGTAGAGCAGGTAGCCTACAGATGTAGAGCAGGTAGACCACAGATGTAGAGCAGGTAGACAACAGATGTAGAGCAGATAGACTACAGATGTAGAGGAGGCAGACTACAGATGTAGAGGAGGTAGACTACAGATGAAGAGCAGGTAGACTACAGATGTAGAGCAGGTAGACAACAGATGTAGAGCAGATAGACTACATATGTTTCTGGGATATCTCCACATGGGAGAGATGTGTTTACGGTCAAATGACATGCGTCTTCTGCCTTGTGTTCAACGCGATCAACACCTGTTACTGGATTGATTTGACAACTGTGCGGTGGAAGGGAGATAACTCGTGATGAGGTATTTTTATAGAGCAATAACAATAATAGTGATAGCAATAATTTTGTTGTTATCGCAGTTTGCACAAGGTGAGGTGTGGTGAGGTGAGGTGAGGTGTGGTGTGGTGAGGTGAGGCGAGGCGAGGTGAGGTGAGGTGAGGTGAGTTTTACGTTGTGCTTGAGAATATTTCGCTCATATGACGACGTGCATGCATGAGTAAGTGTGTGTGTGGCTGCTTGTACTAGCCCAGATTTAAGCCGGTTTTATAGTGCTAGCCCACTGAGATACCATGCCGCAGTGAAGCATGAATACCCGACTCAGACACATTATACTGACTCCGATCCGACTAGTCCTTGTACCCATTAATGTCGAGCGCCAGGCAGGGACCAACAAGTACCATATTTTAAGGTCTTTTGGCATGACGCGGTCAGGGATCGAGCCCGCGACCTTCCGCTCTCGGGGCGGACGCTCTAACCACCACATCACGGAGGCGGTCTCTAAACACAACGTAGTGATGGGTGCTACAGCACTCGTACATCGGGTAGCTTTGGATTGGCCATCCGATGCTGCTCGTATGTTTCCGGGTGTGATCGAGGCACGTGATCAACTTACCCGCCAAATCTGACAGATGACAATTAGGAGATCAAGACGAGACACTGACGACTACGGACACGAATACTTCGCAGAACCCTATAAAGTTGATCTCCCCACTCATCATCACTTACGAAGCAAGGTAAGCGCCTTTCCCTATCACCTGGCTTTCACAACAACAAATAATGGCAAAGTATCTCAATCGAAGGTTTTATAGTGTATCAAATATATCTTTCCATGCTTATCATTATGTCTATATGGACAGTTTACACTGACTCGGTTTGGTTTTGGTCTATTGTATTCGTCCGTTTGAATCCAGGGACTTGTTCAGATGGGACTGATCACACTTTACGCATTACTACTAGAACACACTGAAGAATTTTCTTTTTCACTAGCTGACAGTTAATGAGATAGAAAAAGATTTGTCAGTTCTATTTTTTTCATCTATATTTATTATATCTATTATCAGCTGTTAAGGAGGTTACAGGTCTTTATCATTTTATGTATATTTTGCAGATTTATATGACTAAGTATCACGACAAATAACCGATGCTTTACACGTGTATGGAAATCGAAAATGTAATAAAACTGATGTTTGATGCACCATATCAGAGACGATACATCGACTTCTCCCAAAACATATACTAACGAATTTAGGGTACTTCTGTACTGTATACAGTAGTGAGATCGAACTTATCGACTTCCGTAACGGTACGTATTTCATAGAAAAGATTATCACCATACTTAAACCTTTACGGACAAATTTAGCAGAAGACGCATTTTATGAAATAAAGCTGAAAGTTACTTAATAATCTTCATAAAATCATGAACCTCGAACGTAACTATTTCAGTGTTCCCATACTGATGTATACCGGAATACAGGCTCAACACATTGATCATTGCCGTTATCATGACTGCAAATGTTACCGTGACCGAGGAAAAATTAATTCAGTATCTAATCAGTTTTCCATGAACATGTGATAGGCAAGTGGCTTGCATACCAGTGTGCAGTAGGTCTATTCAAAACATAGTCATAGTTGGGATCGTCCCACGGTTGTATGTTGTCAACTGGTGGAATCGTCGTTAATACTGTTAGTGTACTGAATATTTACAAATAGATGTAAATGTATGTTCTGTAAACATGCTGAACATTGTTATTATATTGTTATTATATTGTTTCAGGGTTTAGCGTGTACACTGAATTCTCAAGCCACTTGGAAGTAAACTTACAACCCTGCCTTCACTTTGCGTGTTGTCACTGTGACCCAGCCACATGTTGATGACGGTAGTTTGTATATAGTCGAGTGTTGGCTGGATAAACGAGTGGTTGCTATTATGGCAGCATCCAAGCAGCCGGTGTATGACAACAATTATTCTTCCTAGTGACGGAGCCTATTCAAAGAGTCCCCATGGACGACATGTTCCTTGATCCTTGATAACCAGAATCCCATGGGAATGAAGCATACGGTTCGTGACCGTTGTTAACCACAAGCAAGTCTTGACCAATCTGTACACTTCTGAGAATGTACCGACATCTTTCATTAATCTTCAGGGTCAACGTGCGGATGTCATGTCCAGGAGCTCTGACGGACTCCGGTCGCCTTCTTTGATACCAGCACAACAAAATCTCGTCAAGTATACCTCAGCATTTACTCTTTAAACGTCAGTACAAAAACATGTCCAGTCCAGTCCTCAGAAAAGTTAGGGATTGTTTTAACACCGCTTTTAGCAGTATCACGGCGGGACACCTAAATGGGCTTCACACATTTGGTCCATGTGGGGAATCAAACCTGGGTCTTCTGTCTGACGAGCAGACGCGTCAATATGAATGTTCATGTTCTCCAAGAAAAACTGTTTTTCATATTCAAGTCCAAACCAACAGACAGCATGTGCTTAGTGAACGTGTAGAGTGTAGCAGACCCACAAGAAGATAACGGTGTGACTTATTCCTGGGTGAGTGAGTGAGTGAGTGACTGTAGTTATGCAGTCATCCAGCTATGTCACAGGAGCCTGACACTATCACAGCTATAAGATTGCGACAATAAATCTTGACTCGTGACCCTGCGCATTCAAAGCGAAATCAAAACACAATCACTCATTCGACATCACTCGTGCCTTTCCGTAAATGCAAACTGTCCCTGAATGACGAGTTGATCACGAATGAACCACGTCAACCCTGTACGGTATATCTCTTTCTGTGCTCAGTTTCCCTCTGCACCGGTCACCTGGCTGTCTCGGGTAAGTGTGTTGTCACAGGGGCTGCGTCTATTCAAGTGATAAGCTACACACCTGTCCTACTGTGTACAGGTAACACCACACTGGTTCATCTAACTGTTGGGACATCTCCAGGCACATTCTCAAATCCGGGCCCCTGATATTCTGCAATATGTAGACTGAGCATGGTGTATGAAGTGTCTATACTTTCATTACTTCCTTGATCTGCCTGTTGACTTCAATACTGAGGTCTGTCCCAATGTATGTGGATGTATGTATATAATGTGTTTTTGCTAAAGTTATCACTGAATTGATCTGAACTAAATTATGAATTAATTCCGCAAAAGAATAAGCTTTGAAACCAGTAGAAACAACAACAAAGAAATGTGCTGTAATGAACATTTGCATTCTAAAATTAACTAAGTTCAGAAATCAGTACAAAGGCTACACAACTGCTCATAAACTTTCGTATTGTAGCTCAACGGTTCCAGTATGTCAGGCAAAAGAGAGAATTTTGTGTTTGTGTAAACCGTGAACTATCTGAGGGAATCTATGTTCTGTGTTTTACGTATGAAAAAGTATCCAGTATCAATATCAGGCCAAAGAAAGAATCTACAAGACTGACAGAATCAAACCAACACACGGTTACTTCCCTTCATTCTATATCCAGCTTCTAACGCTTCTAAAATACAGGATTGTTTGTGTATAACGTGAAATATGTGAGGGAATGGCTGTTCCATGTTTTACGTATGACCAGAAATACAGAGCCATCCACACACGCTCACATCATGCACACACAATAAACACGGCCCAGTTGAAACCCGTCTACCAATGTTATCTCTCATTGATTATAGGATCTACATACATCTGAATATGTTTTCAATCGTTCATAATTCCAAGAGCAGGATTTACTAGACATAGTTCTTTTAGACCTGTCAGTAAATCGGGACTACAAATATGGTCGGTGTTCGTGTAATGAATGTTGTGGTTTGTATAGTGGATAGAATGTTTATGTCGTGTCTCCTGACTTTTGGTAGGAGAGATGGCGACCTCCCAGAAGTTGACAGAACACTTCCTGACATGCTCCATATGTACAGAGGTGTTTGACAAGCCCTGTACACTTGTGTGTAATCACACCTTCTGTCGGAAATGTGTCGTCAACTACACCAAAACCAGACGGGAAGCCATCAGTGCCAAGTCTCTCCTGTGTCCATTCTGCAGGAAGATGACGAAAGTGTCTGACCCCGAGAAACCAGTGGAGGAGTGGGCGGATGACGTCCAGCCTATCTTTGTCATCCAGGGACTGTTGGACTCGTTTGGCCCCGGATCTAAAGGTGAATAGATGTAGGTTGTAGCAATATACGTGTTGTTTACAAGCAGGTAACAGAATAATTGATTTAAGCAATATAAATGTTTGTGATGTTATGAACATTGTATGACCCCTGCTATGTATATACTAGTATAGTTTGGTGTATGTAAAAAAACTGTTTGTGAGGAATGTGAACGTTCATTGTGGATATCTGTTCAACGAGCAAGACACAGCATATCAGGTGACATGACCAAAGACATATATAAACCTTATTCATGATCCGTACAACAACGTTTACGGTGAGACAATTTCAAACATATTTACATGACGTTTCAACCTGAGACGTGTTCCGATGTTTCCGATACATTTTCTCACATGTGTCAAGTAGGAACATGATGCGACACATCCAGCCCTATAATACATTGTGATGTCACCAGGTTAATATCACCACATCTAGCCCTATAATACATTGTGATGTCACAATGCTAATATCACCACATCTAGCCCTATTATACATTGTGATGTCACGAAGTTGATATCATCATATCTAGCCCTATAATACATTGTGATGTCACCAGGTTGATATCATCATATCTTGCCTTATAATACATTGTGATGTCACCAGGTTAATATCACCACATCTAGCCCTATAATACATTGTGATGTCACCAGGTTAATATCCCCACATCTAGCCCTATTATTAACACATTGTGATGTCACCAGGTTAATATCACCATATCTAGCCCTATAATACATTGTGATGTCACCAGGTTAATATCACCACACGAATGAATGTTTATTTCAAATACAACTAACTGCAGTTATTGCAAGGTGGGAGGGGAGACAACTCCAGCTACATCTTGGTGTTCTGTTTGTGACGACGTACTATGTGAACAATGTACAAGGATGCACCAACGATTCCCCTCTTTCCGTCACCATGACGTAGTTGACCTGTCTGGAGAGACAAAGGTCAAGGTCAAGAGAAAGATCATGTGTAAAGTTCACAAGGACGAGAATATCAAATATCTTTGCAAAGATTGTAAAACAGCTGTTTGTCAAACATGTTGCACCATACATCACAGGAAATGTGACATGGTTGTTGAAATTGAGTCAGAGATTCCTGCAATGAAAACCGAGCTGAAAAGGAATAAAGAGAATTTGTTAAAGAAACACGATGAGATGAAAACATATGTTGGAAAACAAAACTCCATTGTCAAAGAAGAATTGGCGCTATATATACAAATAGAATCAAGTATCAAGTCTGCAAGTCTCACAGCAATACAGATGATCAAAGACAAGGAACGGAACCTTGTGTCTGAACTGAAAGAGATGTCTGACAGACACATTGGACAACTGAAAGCAGACATAAAGTCGGGTGAGATGTCAGTACAGATGTACCAACAACAGGCTGAGCTGATGGACCAGGCTCTACAATCTGAGTGTGACATGGATGTGTATGAGATGTATCAGGGATGTGAGGCCGGTGATGTGAAGGCTGTCGGAGTCGTAAACGTGAAGGAGAAGGGAAGAATAGACAGAATAAAATTCAGACAGGACACGGACAAGCTGAGTAGATCACTGGAAGATCTCCATCTGGGTGAGATACACGTCCAGTATGACGATGTGCTGGACCTGAAGGCTGCTCCTGTGTTACAGGACACCATTGATGTGCTGGACCTGATGGCTACCCCTGTGTTACATGACACCATTAATGTGACAGTAGCAGGAGATGCAGGTGGAGGAGACCCCACTGACGTGACGGTGTTAGAGGTGAATGGTACAGACACAGTGGTAGTTACAGACTACAACAACAACAGTGTCAAGTCCTTCTACACCAGGAACAGTCAGCCAGGTCACAGCAAGCTCAGTCTGGGAGGTGGACCCTATGGTATAGCAAGGCTGAAACACAACCAGGTGGCTGTCACTCTGCTGTATACCAGACATATTGTAACAGTTGAAGTGAACCCTGACCTGGTGCTGCTGTCCACCATCACAACCAACAAACATTACCGGGGTATATCGTCTCTGACACCATCAACACTAGCAGCATGTTCCCACTACCCTCCCTGTGTTGATATCCTGGATATGTCGGGACACGTGCTGAAGTCATTTTGTCGAGGCCACAGAGGTAGAAACATCTTAATGTATCCCGACTCCCTCTGTACCACGAGGACAGGAAACATCCTGGTGTCTGACCGTGGAACCAAATGTGTCGTGTGTCTGACGCCCGAGGGAGATGTGGTGTTCAACTACAGACCTACAGGAGACACAGTACTGAAGGATCCATTTGGTATCACAAGTACCAGCACAAGCGACATCCTGGTGACAGACACCTCACAACACAGAGTCATCCATCTGACAGAGTCAGGACAATTTGTTAGAAACATACTGACATCACAGGACGGTGTGTGGTATCCAAGGGGACTGTGTGTTGGTGGGCGTGGTCGAATGTACTTGGTGTGTGCATTAGATGTAGTGAAGGTGTTTACACACTGTGAGTGAGAGAACATGTCACAATCTCTTTCTGTATGTTAAATATAGATATATGTTACCTGGATAGATATGATGTGATGCACTGTAGGAACATTTAACTTTTGATGTGAACGTGACGAACCATACCTGTTGTAGAAAGGTATGGTGGTTAAAACGCTCGCTCGTCACGCCGAAGACCTGGGTTTGATTCCTTACATGGGTACAATGTGTGAAGCCCATTTCTGGTGTCCCCTGTCGTGATATTGCTGGAATATTGCTAAAAAGCTAAAACCATACTCTCTCACCTGCTGGAATGTAATTTAATGTAATGTAATGTAATGTAATGTAATGTAAGCAGCCATTACTTCTGCTTTATATTCAGATATATTGTCTCAATAACTATGTGGTCCAAAATCATCTGGAATATTTATATTTTGAGTTGTAATGATTTTGAGTCACTTTTTCTATAAGTGACTTTAATAAAGAATTGTTTTACAAAATTTAATGAATTGGTCAAATGGGACAAATTAGTGGTCAAAGGGAGATAAGTCGTTATGAGAAGTATACGAAGAGCCATAAAATGTAGCGAACGAATGAATAGTTTATCAGTGAGTTAGTTGCGTTTTTACGCTGCTTTTAACATTATTCCACACATTGTAAGTTGTTGGGAATCGAACCCGGGTCTTCGTCATGACGAACGAACAATTTTTTACCACTGGGTTACCCCAGCCCCTATTTTATCACAATTTGTGTTTAGTGTGAGTGTTGTACATTGATACGTGCAGTGTTTATACCGACGTGTACAGTTATATACTCTCTGCCTCATATCATTCATTCACTTAATGGAGGAGTAAGAAACGTTGTGTTCCTCATAATAAAGAAGCTGACATCGACAAAACTCTCTTCCGGATGTGTATCCCTTCTAAATGTCATTCAAAGACCTGATGTGTTACATGTACGTAATGATGTCTGGCTCAGTATAAAAGATTGCCATTTCCTTTGCTAATATGTTGTTTCACACTATATTGTTTTGAGAGAGAGAGAGAGAGAGAGAGAGAGAGAGAGAGAGAGAGGAGAGAGAGAGAGAGGGAGAGAGATGGAGAGAGACAGAGAGAGAGAGAGAGATAGGAGAGAGAGAGAGAGAGAGAGAGAGAGAGAGGAGAGAGACTGACAGACTGAGACTGTCTGAGTTTAGTTTTACGCCGTTTTTTAGCAATATTCCAGCAATATCACGGCGGGGACAGACAGGGGAGAGAGACGGGGAGAGAGGGGAGAGAGAGAGAGAGAGAGAATCTCCAGGGTCCCGTTGTACAAAACAACCGTAGCTCTAAGGTTACCTTATCTCCTTAAGTTTAACATTAGGCCTTTGCTAAGGTTGACGCCCCGTTGTACGAATCTACTTTACGCTAAGGTAGCCTTAGTTAAGGTGAAATTTTAAGGATGGTCCGACCCAACCTTAGTGTGGCTAAGGCTGACAGAAGACCTTTACCCAAAATACCCTCTGTTTACTCTGCGGCGTAAAACGCTATTCACACAACCACCCACTCGCCCACTGAGAAACTGAATACTGCAACCGCCACTCGTCAATGGTCGAGTTTATACCTTTCAAACTTCAAACACATGTCATCGTATCCCAGTTGTGTAGATCGATGCTCATGCTGTTGATCACTGGATTGCCTGGTCCAGACTCGATTATTTACAGACCACCGCCATATAGTTGGAATATTGCTGAGTGCAGCGTTAAACAATAACTATTAAGCTTGGCTGAATCTTTTTGGTCTGCAATAGACAGAGGTATCCTGTTAAATAGGTGCGATTCCTCACATGGGTACTAATTTCTGGTGATATTTCTGGAATATTGCTAAATGCGGTGTAAAATGAAACTCACTCACTCACTCCTGTTTAACAGTCGGTTGTTGTGTGGTATGTGTATAGCTTTAATCTGCACACACACTATTGGCATATAGACCCAACACAGAAATCGCAATATTAGATACCCGTAATGGTGGCCAGATCTAGCTTTAATCTGCACACACACTATTGGCATATAGACCCAACACAGAAATCGCAATATTAGATACCCGTAATGGTGGCCAGATCTAGCTTTAATCTGCACACACACTATTGTCATATAGACCCAACACAGAAATCGCAATATTAGATACCCGTAATGGTGGCCAGATCTAGCTTTAATCTGCACACACACTATTGGCATATATAGACCCAACACAGAAATCTCAATATTAGATACCCGTACTGGTGGCCAGATCTAGCTTTAATCTGCACACACACTATTGGCATATATAGACCCAACACAGAAATCGCAATATTAGATACCCGTAATGGTGGCCAGATCTGTTGCATGATTTATGATACACTGCTGGGTTTGGGAACATATGTTCTTATGCATTTTCAAAGCGATATTGGACCAAGTCGAGTGTCCCTTAGTGACATTGGTTCAATACAAGTCACACAACGACGCTACAGATGGGTACTTTAGCAAGTTGAATAACACAACGGGCTCTTTGAGTGACTACTCCTACACCTACTATAAGAGTAGCAACATGTTAACACATTTCCATTGTCCATATCACTGCCCATATTAAGTGGTATACTAGTGTACACGTGTTACGTCATAACTTATCACGTTGTGACTCCCATGGGGATAGTTTTGTTAAACATTTCGTGACAAAAATAGATACAGAGAGTGAGAGTAAGAGTATATTTCGTATAATGGCCTCATGGCCGAGAGTACAAAAAAATACATAATTGTTTGTTTGTGCGCATACAATACATAAACATAAACATAATGCATCACTGTATAGCAGTCAAACAGGTAGGTTTCTCTTCTGGTAGATTGCTAGGCTTTTGATAGCATTCATATATTTTGTGCATAACAACTGGTTCAACTTAAATAGAGATGGATTTATATGATAATAACCAGGACTAAACTGTACGGTATGGTAGTAAGGACATACTAACAGAAAGTGGTATTCTTCTTCTACGACATAACTAAATGACACTTGATACATATTGCTATTGTATTATCGACATTGTCTTTATTGAAACGCAGCTGTTAGACGCCCAATTTGTGCGATAAGCAACGAAAATCACATAATATACGCCTCAAGTCTCTATTAGTGTACAACGCAGTTATATACACTTCTGTTTCCAAAACTGACTTGTACGATGAATAAACTTTAAGAAAGGAACTACTACCAATATCACAGTACCAATATCACTGCTCCTAGTTTGGAAACAGATATCCTTGGAGCGTTGCTTAAACGTTGCAATAATACATCTACGTCGGCAAAGTCTTGTGCAGTCCACACAAAAGAGAATCCAAATTTAAACAATAGTGAACGAACATAAGACACGAAGTTGACACTTCCATTTTCACCATTCATTCTCACGAGTCTACACCAGTACCTGATACAACGGCTAAAATAATTAAATATATCCCTCCACGCTAGAGCCTCGTCGACTATATAAACCAGGTTTAATAATACCGTATCATTCAAGCTCTGATCGAGACACACCATTAGACGACATTAACTCGACCAACCTTGATCAAGGACTAGAGTGCTGTCTCAGATATTGAATATTGACTTCGTGTGTCCAAGCTACTCAAATCATTAGTGATATCATGGATAAACTTGCTGACTTTACAGGCCTGTTCTCCGGGTTTTTCAGAGACCCAGCTAGAATTCTGATGGTTGGACTCCATGCTGCCGGTATGTTAAGTAATATTTGTTTGCAGCTACTTTTTTGCACAACTTGTTATTGACATGAACACATTCTAATTTTACAGGATACATTTGGTATTTCAATCATGCTTTATGTATTAATTAGGGCTCCTTGCCTCCAGGCAGGAGACCTATTGAAATCGTTCGGATTATTATTATTCATTATTCCGCTGTATTTTGTACCAAACATAGCTCCTAAACCAGAACTCAGAATCTCTTCCAAAAAATCACCAAGGTGCCCACAACATTGAAGTTGATAGCGCCAAAAAACGCAGGACTCTAGGCCCAATAGCACAGGGCAGATAATTCAAAAATAATTCAAAAATTTTAATTTCCAAAGCAATAATCTCCGAAACTACATGTCCAATGACTACCAAATTTCAGGGGCAACTCTGGAATCCGATTACCTTCAATTTCAACTGCATGACCCAAGGGGCCAAGAGGCTCAGTTTGGCGGCTATATTGGATTCAAGGAAATATGAAGGTTTTGGCGGGTAGGCAATTCCACTGTTCCGTACATTATATGTGTACATATGATAACTGAAGTCCTGACACGACTAGTGGTAGTGTAGCCTTACGGCTAGTGGTAGTGTAGCCTCACGACTAGTGGTGGTGTAGCCTCACGACTAGTTGTAGTGTAGCCTTACGGCTAGTGGTAGTGTAGCCTTACGGCTAGTGGTAGTGTAGCCTCACGACTAGTGGGAGTGTAGCCTCACGACTAGTGGTAGTGTAGTCTTACGGCTAGTGGTAGTGTAGCCTCACGACTAGTTGTAGTGTAGCCTTACGGCTAGTGGTAGTGTAGCCTTACGGCTAGTGGTAGTGTAGCCTCACGACTAGTGGTAGTGTAGCCTCACAACTAGTGGTAGTGTAGTCTTACGACTAGTGGTAGTGTAGCCTCACGACTAGTGGTGGTGTAGTCCTACGACTAGTGGTAGTGTAGCCTTACGGCTAGTGGTCGTGGTAGTGTAGCCTCACGACTAGTGATAGTGTAGCCTCACGACTAGTGGCAGTGTGAATGCGTACAGTCAATACCAGAGTTAAATGGTATATGTCAAATCTGAGCACTTCGCGCCGTTACCGTATTTGCTCAAGGCAGGAATGTTGATAACGGAAATTTACTTTCACTAGTCATAAATCGTTACCGTAGTTTATGCATTAAGCGCAACATACCGTAATAATAATAAATTCCTAACCGTAGTTAACGCAATAGGCACTACATACCGTAATTGTCATAAATGG